CCGCGGTACATTTCATGCCCAAAGGGCATGAGGTAGTTAGACAACGTGTCAATGTAGGAATCACCTGTCTGTGAGCCCTCAAGAAAGGCCAGTTCGGTCTTGCCTTTCGACGAAAACCCGCCCCAAATCATGCAACTCCCACCACCGCTGTGGCGAGTGAAATACTCGTCATTTTCGTGTCGTAGGTCGTGCCAGTAATACTGGTACCCGTCTGGTCCATCCAGGTTGAACTTTTTTTCGTCCGACCACACGATATTCTCCCACACCGTTTGCACGGACAAGTGTCGCTCAGCGTAGGCCAGTCGGGCGTCCTTGTGTCGTTGCGTCAGCGTCGGGGTGTGCTTGCGCTTGGTGTAGACGAGGTGCTCGGACTCGGCAAGGATCCTTTGGTACGTCCGCAGCGAAAAATCCAACGGAATGTCCGTCTTGACGCGTCGAGCCGAGGCTTCTGTCCATGGGCATTTGAAATGAATCATCAATTCAGGGATTAATAACCTGTAAGAACATGGCGTCGAGTCAACCCTAATGTATAGTGTGATTCATTTTGTAATTATAACCTTACCGCTTCTATATTCAAACCATACAATTCAAATTTGATTTATTCCGAGTTCGTTGTCCCTGATTGGACAATACACTAATGCACCGGTCCAATCAGGTGTAGGGGTCATATTCGGCATTGCATTCAATTTGCTCTAACATATATATATGTGATACTTGGCATCTCAACATGAGCACGGCTGGCGCAATGGATAGCGTATCAGACTTCGAATCTGGGGGTTGCGGGTTCGAGTCCCGCGTCGTGTAAATCGTTTTCACATTTTTCTGTCAATTACATTATTTTACAAAGGATATTTATTGCTACAATGAATGAAAGATCGCAAGTCGAACTTGTTCCAACTTCATTCACACGTGACAACACGACGACGAGTGCTGCCATCATGTCGTCGTCCTCCTTGCTCCAGTTCCAGCCATTCACGAGCTCTCCGAATGTGTCCTTCTTTCAGAAGCTAGCCCAGCTCAAGCTGGATACGTATCAGCTGAGCGATGCTGCGCAGGTATTGTGGCTCGAGACAAATACGTCACACTGACAACAAAGCGACAGGATATCACCGGTTCCTTTGAGTTGAATTCACACTCGAGCGTGCCACCTCGCTTCTTGGTCCACGACACGTCGTTTGGTTTTGACGCGGCATCGCTGCCAAATCGTTGCAAGCACGAATGGACCGTACCTGGCGTCCTCATCAACACAAACACGTTGGAAGACTTCAAAAACCTGGACAAAGGCAGTCTCCTTGACAACGCGAAGTCTCGCATTCTTCATGCGATCGAGTCGTATGACTCCACATCCCTTCAAACGTTTGTCTTGTGCACGTTCGCTGATCTCAAGACACATACGTACTGGTATCGGTTTGCCTTTCCCGCGGTCGTACCGTCGACTGAAGCGTACAAGCTTGTGTATGTCGATCGTCCACCCCACGCCGCCGACCTCACTTAGCCATGATGTAGGAGCGATTCATGGACACCAAGTCATGCTTACTTCGCTTCGGCGCAGCAACAAGCCCTCGTACGTCAGCTGGTCGGCCGACGGCTCGTCGATCAGGACGGCGTCACATCGGAAAATTTCCCCCCAGCATTCCTATTTGATCCAGTGGCCAGCACACTCCATGACCTCAAAGACATTCAGACGCTGGATCCATCGGCGCTTGTATTTGGCATCGTCGATCCGTCCGCCCTTTCAACCAACCCAGGGTGGCCACTGCGGAATTTTCTGGCTTGGATTTCACGGCACTGCCCCAACCTGGTATGCTTCACTCATTCACGGAAGTTCTCTCACCTAAGCAAACTTTTTGCATGGGGTGAAGGCAACAGCAAAAGTATTGCTGTTTCGTGACCAAGTACATCATTTATCGGCCGACAACACTGACGTCTCGGCATTCCGCTTGCGCGCATCGTATGTGGCGACAGTTGAGCTGGCGCCTTACGACCCAGCGACAACCAAGGTCGTGGGGTGGGAGCTGAACGTTCAAGGCAAGATGGGCCCGCGGCACATGCAGCTCGCAAACTTGCTTGATCCCCTGCACTTGGCCAAGACATCTGTGGATCTCAACCTCAAGTTGATGCGGTGGCGCCAGTTGCCGAACTTGGACTTGGAGAAGCTGGGGCAGACCAAGTGTCTGCTCTTGGGTGCAGGTGCGATTGGCATGGGTGCGCTTCAGGGCTGTGAGGTTGAATCGTTGTGTAGGCACATTGGGCTGTCACTTTGCTCGCAATCTTCTAGCATGGGGGTTTCGATCGCTCACTTTAGTAGATTACGGCAAAGTGAGCCATTCGAACCCAGTGCGACAGCCTTTGTACGACTACGCCGACGTCGGTGAGTGGAAGGCGCCGACGGCTGCGAAAGCCCTCAAGGTGCGCTGTGCATGCCGCTCCAGCTTATCCCGTGCTCACGTGAAAAATATGGCTGTCTGCAGCGAATTTACCCCCTCGTGGAAAGTGAAGGACATGTGCTGTCAATTCCCATGGCTGGGCACGCCTTGAGCAACCCCCAAGCGCTTCAAGTTCGTCGACTGTTTCTCGAACGCTCTTTGGGGTATTGATAGATCTCCATCCAGGAAGCGAGAGCGGCATATGACACACTAGAAGCCATGATTGCCTCCCACGATGTCATCTTCTTGGGCACGGACACGCGAGAAAGTCGATGGCTGCCGACGGTGCTGGCCGCTGCACATGAAAAGCTCGTGATCAACGCTGCCTTGGGTACGACGATCTCTTTTCCGCGTGGGGTGGATGGCGAGTGCCAAGACGACGTGGCTCCAAGACTCAGTCACGATGTGGGTTTGTAGGATTCGACACGTACTTGGTGATGCGCCACGGCCTCCCTGTACGAAATCGTATTCCTTTGTGGTGCTGTCATGTGCTCCGTTAACATGCCCGCATGGACGGTAGAACCTGGTTGATTTGGGGTGCTACTTTTGCAATGATATCGTGAGCCCGACCGACTCGTTGACGGATCGCACGTTGGATCAAATGTGCACGGTGACGCGTCCAGGCGGTGCCGCGATTGCAGGTTCGCTTGTGAACTTCATTCGCGTGTCTAGTACATTTGGTTTTGACGCAGCGCAGGGTCGACGGCAGTGGAACTGCTCGTGTGCGTCTTGCACCATGCCCAAGGAAAAAGCGCTCCCGTCGCAACCGAGTCGGCCGACCTTGGCGTCGCACCCCACCAAATCCGAGGCTCCCTCAACACGTTTTCGCAGGTGCATTCATCTCGGAACCACACGGTTTTCAACAACGTGTCGCGGCAGGTGTTGGTCCAGGGTCCGATGTTTCCGCAGTGCACCGCATGCAGTGCGTCCGTCTTGACGGCCTACCGCACGGACGGATGGGAGATGTTTGTGCAAGTTTGCAACTCCAAGTCGTACTTGCAAGGTACAATACCAACCTGGAAACTGTGTGGTATGAATTGTGTTCGATTTTGCGGTAGATTTGACTGGGTTGGCGGCGCTCGCAGCGAAAACGGATGAGCTCTCGTTTGACAACGACAGCGACGACGAAGACAGCTTGTTATAGTTCCACGCTCGAATGCCCGGATGTCGTGATGCTTGTCGGTAGATGACACCATCATCACGACGCCAGCTCGTAGCGAATGAATACAACCACGTGAAGCTAGTCGAAATGTTGGCCTCTCGCGGTTGTTGCTGCTGTGCAAGAACGAGTTGGCTCAGACACAAACAAAATCGTGCGTGCCCTACGATTCTCGAGACAATAGGCAACGTAAGGCTCGAGCCTGTTGTACAACCGTGGAGGCCAGAGTAACAAGCATGGCGTACTGCATGCAGCCACAAGTTCAACGTCGTACGTGAACCGGTGAGCACAGCGGCATTGGTCCGAGGCAGCCCAAGCGGTCAAGTGTTTTTGCATTTCTCTTCGGCAGTTCGACATGAAATGTTCGATTCGACGGGCAGGTCACGGTGGTCTGCCGTGTTTGTAGCAACGTATCTTTCACTGTTGTTCGAAATGCTGTCGACGAGCACTCGACGTCCGAATGCTGAGAGAGTGTCCTGGGAAGCGCTGCTCGATCGCTCTGCCAGCAACCAGCGTTAAGTGTGCTGCATGCCGTATGGCCACCGTGGCCATCGTTGCTGGGCACCTGCCATGTCATCAACTGGGATGCATGCCTGGAGGGAAGAATTGGTCGAATTTTGATTGGTTAAAAACATTTTCTCATCGCCAATGAAAAGGCAAACAGAACTGTATTCCAACCAATGGGATCCATTCAAGTCTAAAAATAGCTCCTGCCAGCTTGCGCAACGATCGTTACGACAAGAATAGGGCGATGGCTTGGTCGTTGAATCAAGATGGCTCGGTGTTCTACTTGTTTGACGGGCACTCAAGGTTGCCACAATCGCACTTGGCCCCGCCCCCACCGACAGCTCCACCATAATCCCGCCACGCAAGATCATGACCTCGAACGTCAGTCTTGCGCCCGTACAAACGCAACTGGCTGCGGGGCCACAGTCGCACTTCAATTCACCGCGCGGCAGCGGCACTACCAATCGTCAATCGCCCAGTACATACATCTTCCTCTTTTTCGACGACACATCGTTCGATGCCATCGCCGTGGCATGATGCTAACACTTGCCACTTGTCTAGCTTTCCAAACGGTCGTGTTCTCGCGCAAAACCACCCAGCATGGCCCGGATGGTGAAATCACAGACGCGTTCAAGCGAAAGCTGCGCGACCAAGAGCCATCTGCCCAACCGCCGTCACCGCTCGCGAGTTTGGTCCACCAAACGGATCGCCACGGCAAGCACAGTCCACACCCCCAACAACACACGTCGCACGACGCCCTTAAAGTCAAACCGACTACGTCGTCATCTATCGATGCCCGAAATTCGCAACAACCTGGCGGGATTTCCAAGCTGTTTGCCAATATTTGCTCGTGTTTGGGCTTGGCGGAGCAGCAGCAACTTGCTCAGCAACACCAGCAGCAGCAACAGCAGCAGTTTCAATATCGCAAGCAACTCTCGAACCATGAAAAAATAGTCGAGACGCGCCAGAGCCAAGAAGTACGCAAGATCATGGGCACCAAGTTTCCTGGCGACGAAGGGAAGAAGTGCCTCGTGCTCGATCTGGACGAGACCCTCGTGCACAGCTCCTTTAAGGTACGTTCTTGAACGACTCGACGGACAGGGCTGACGGATCGTGAAGCCGATTCTTAACCCCGACTACGTCATCCCGGTTGAAATCGAAGGACACGTCCATCAAGTGTACGTGGCCAAACGACCAGGCGTCGACGAATTCATGCGGAAAATGGCCGAGTTCTACGAGATTGTCGTTTATACGGCGAGCTTGAGCAAGGTACGTTGCACAGCATTCTCCACAACGATATGTAACGCGTGGTATGGTGACCAGTACGCCGATCCGCTACTGGACCAGCTCGACACGCACAAGGTGATACGGTTCCGCCTCTTTCGCGAACACTGCGTGCACTACGAAGGCAGCTACGTGAAAGATTTGTCCTTGATTGACCGCGACATCACGCAAAGCATCATCATCGACAACTCCCCCATGAGCTACCTCTTCCATCCCCGCAACGCCATCGGGTGCTCGTCGTTCATTGACGACATGGACGATCGCGAACTCGACTCGATTACCAACTTCCTCACTGAAATCCGCGCCGTCGACGACGTCCGCAACCATTGCCACAAATGGTCTCCCCATATGTAAACATCCCTTCGGACATGGCTGGACCAGCAATACTCACATCACACAATACAATCACATGCCAATAAAGGAACCATAATCATATCTAACATGTTCCCCCACATCTTCTTTATGCATCTCCACGTCAAGGGCCGCGGTCTTGGGCTTTTCATCCATCCAATTGTCCCTATGACTCCTGCGCGCCTCTTGACGACACCGACATGCGATCTTTTTATATCCGGATTTTGTGCATTTTTTCTACCGATTCGAGGAGTGATGGTTTCATTAATATCTACGTAATCTATAAATTCAGAAAGCATTTGAATTCATCCGGATAAAATGGAATGATGGTCTCTAACCAACTGACAAACATGAACGCGACAGCAGCGCAGCCGCCTCCCGTCATGGACCCAAACGGTGGTCCACCGAACGGGAGATACGAATACCTCTTACAACAAGTTGTCCAGCTAAACACGGACTTGCACAAGACCGTTGCATTGAGCCAGTCCCTGAAAGCCGAGCGCGACTCGCTGCAAGAACTTACCAACCGGGTACACGTTCCAAGCACGACAGCCACCAAACTCATGGATTTGTAGCTAAAGCAAGACGTGATGCGGTGTGAAGAAAGGTGCGAAAAGATGCAGGAAGTACTGATGACCGAGACCGAATTCAAGGTCCAGTCAGACCGCAAGCACGAAGCTTTGATGCACAAGTGGAAGCAACAGCTCGAGATTAAAGCTCGGGAGTTTGAAGTATTGCAAAAAAACTTAGCGCCTCCAAAAGATCTGGACCAGTTGAGGCTAGCCATCCAGGAGGAAGTCGAACTGCCGCACCGCCAGCGGGTACACTTCTTATCATGCATATGTCTAGCATGTAACTTGAGGTGGCAGACTCAAGCTCTTCAACTCGAGATTGAAAAGTTCCGAGAGATGTACTACACGACCCGGCGGGAGTTTGAAATTCTCAAGACGGAGCACGAACAGACCCTTGTCAATCATGTACCGTCGCCATTGAATACTCGTTTGCGTCACGATGCGGCCGTAGGGCAACGAAATTGAAAGCACCCTCGCTACGCATGCTGTTCTGATGAACGACTTGAAGCGGCAAGTGGACGCCGCGGAAGAGCGAGCTGACGACATACACCTGACGGAAAAAGTGCGGCGCATGGAGCTTGATAAGGAAGCTCTGGTGTTGGAGAACCTTAAGTTGCGCCAGGAACTCGAGGTAACGCAGGACCCCGACGGGAGCGAATTTCGTGACACACAATGGACTAGCATGTCCGACAAGCCAAGTTGGATTTGTTTCAACGACAGGAAGCAGACGCGACCAAACATGCCCAGCAATTGACTGAAGCGCTCGGAAAAATCACCAACCTGGATCTCGAACTCAATGCGACAACTCGACAGGTACATTGGACCGAGACCAGGGTGGGCGTGTGTTCATTGATGTTGTGCGGCGGCGCAGCTCGGGCGGTTTAAAGACGACTGCGAGCGACTGCAAGGTGCCGTGGACGAAAAGGACAGAAAATTGCGGGACGCACTGGACGACAGCATGAAATTGCGCGAGCAAGTCAAGCAAAAGGATTTGCTGCTTGTGGACAACCACAGTCTCCACAACACCAAGTACGCCATTTCACAAGCACGGACGTTACCAAGTTGATTTGTTTTGCATCGATCGTAGACTGCGTGAGCTGCGGGCCGAGCTGGATGCGGACAAGACTCAGTTCAAAGAGAGACAGCTGGAATGGATGGAACAAATCGCAACTCTCCAGCTCAGCCTGCAGCAGTCGGAAGCCACGTTTCAAAAACGAGAAAAGGAGTGGCAAATGGAGCATGCCAAGCAACTGGCACTGCACTCCCACGACGAAACCCACACGCAACACACCACGTCCGCTCTCGAAACGAAGGTCTGTCGAGATGAAGCATTGTGATTGGTGCTTCGAATTTTTCAATCGACTTTGATTGGTGCACTCTCTGGAATAACGGCTTTGATTGGCGGATCGAATAAGGGTGGTTGTAGCTGGCACAAAAGGTCACCGAGCTCGCCGCCCTTGAAGAAGCACATGATGAGCGAATCCAGCGAGCCACCCACGCATTGGAGCAAGAACAGCTCAAAACTCACCGGTTGCAAGGGGAGAAGGATTCCCTGACGGCAAAACTCGCGACCACACAAGAATTGGTACACAGAGCGGGACTCGAGCGGGGAGGTTGACATTTTTGTCGCAGGTGACCAAGTTAAAGGCGGAAACGTTGTCATGGCGCACACAGCACAAAGAAATGGAGCAGGAATATCGTATTTTACAGGCAAAGCATCGGTATGTTTGACTTTTCAAGTTGCGGCCAGGAACTCAATGTGGAACCCTCGTAGCGATGCCATACAAGCCCAAGAAGACGTGCAAAGCCAGCTTGACCAAGAAAAAGCTAAGGTTGGTGTATGCATCGTCATTGCTTCTACGAGCATCAAAATTTGGCTGGATTTGATGGTCTTCCCGTCACGAATGGTTTGGGATGGATGTAGTGGTGTTCGTTCAACACCGTCGAACAGAAAAGTGGCAGTGAAATCGACCTTTTTCTGCACAGCAGTACCTTTTTACGAACGACGATGGAATGGCTCGGATGCGCTTCACCTTTGAGTAAACTGGGACGACCCGGTCTTAGTGTCTGGTGGCGGTAGATCCAGTATCTCGAAGAGGACCTCGTCAAGCTCACAGAGCAGCGCGCATCGGACAAAGAAGTTTTTGATAAGGCTCAAGCGCGGCTTCAAGCCCACGTGGATGAGACTTTGGCAGCATCGTTTACCGCGCGGCGTACTATGACAGAAGATCACAAAAAAGCCCTCGACAAGGTGACGAAAGCTCTTTCCAAGGCCGAGCACAAGCGCGACGCATACAAACAAAAGTGCTTGCAAGTTCACGACCGGTACAAAGCTGCAATCGCGGCGAAAGACGCTGTCAAGATTCAGTTGCACCAACTCCAGGAGCAACATCACCTGGAGGTTCAGCAATTTCTTGCCCAGTGGACCCACTCCGAAGAGTCTCGAACAACGTCGGCGCTACTGCCTGGCAAACAACCCGTGGTACATCTTCGTTTCAAGTCAAAATGCAATACTGATGGGCCACGGCATCTAGGATACCAAACTCGATTCGTTCTTGGCCGAAGTCGACCAGTACAACCAAACACGAAGTCCTCGATTGAGCTAGCACCTAAATCAATACGACGCAGTGTCTATATTGCTCGTAAAGTCACACGTGTCGGCGCGCCACCATCATTGTTGCGATGGATCTCTAGAACTGGCCGGCAAAAATACGTTGTGTCGACTCGAGTGCTGCAGTGTTTGGAAATTATGGCACACCAGCGACTTCCCCAGCATTGGAGCATCGTATTCCACGTCGAAGTGACGTGAATGTCGTCGGGTTGTATGACCGTTTCGGCGGTTTCACATTGCACGATGCAGTTGCGGGTGGTCGGCGTGGCTGTGGCGGTTGTCCAGGGGGCGGCGCGGGGAGCTTTTCAAATCGGCGAGTCCGATCCAAGTCGATGCACATCGTGCTGGCAACTCGCCCACTGCACGGCCCTCAACGGCTTGAGCTTGCCCGATCCCGTTGTGGGCTACACGCGGTAGGTGTTTCCCCACGTTGTCTACACCGTCACGGTCATATTCACGCTGGCGGCTTCCAGAAACGCGACAACACAGCTAGAAAAACAAGGAGTGTGCGAGGACATCGATCGCGCCGTGACGTTGCTGACTGTGTTTGGTGGCAAGTATCAGTACAAAGACACGCCTGCGTGCCGTGAATTGGTTCTCGACACACCTTGCTTGAGCGGCGGCATGACGCGTGGCGTGCTAGGTATATGCACTCAACTGCTTGACATGGGGTTCCGCATCCAACCCGTGCGTGAATGCGCCGATGCCGCCATGCCGCTCGCTGTGTGTGCAAGTTGCCGATCAATGCGTCTTCATGCGGTCGTACAAACTCTTCTTGACACAAGTGTGTTCGACGATCCCGTGCACGGAGAAAGCAACAGGGAATTGCGTCCCAGGTAGTCTTGCGGTGGTCGACACCTTGGCCTGACGAGAAACGGATGCCAGGAGAGAATGAACTCGACCAGAGATTCAATCGATGCACCTTGCACGACGACTACCTGGCACTGCCCTTGTCCCGTGGGTCGCAACTCTCTTCGTTGACAAGTACGTAACATACTCCCACGCCGTTGAAAAGTGACGAGTCTTGCAGCCGTCTTCGCAGTTCAGTCCCTCGTGTGGCTCGCAGTCTGGGTATAATGCACAGGGCCGAAGTGGATTCCAGTTATTTCATCTTTCGGACACTGCAGGCAAGCTGTGACGACAGAGAAGCCGATCAACAGCCGACATTGACGACGACTTGTGGCAGCCTTTCTCCTTTGCAATGTCATGCCCAGCTCAGTGCCAACAACCTGCTCTCGATGAACACATGAGGATGCTGATAAATGGACTTGACTGCAGAATGCGGTTTGACGTGACAAGGAATGCCCGACCACCTGCACTCCAACATATCCTCGGCTCTGTCAGGCTATGAGGCGTAGTTTTTGCCGTGTTGGGAGTGGGAACGAGGAGAAGGCCGCGGTGTCTGGAGAGGGGTGCACACAAATGCATTTGAGTCCTGCGACACTTTCACAAGTTGGCATCGGGTAAACAAGTTGCGACATTCAACAACGTCACGGCGACGTCGCCGTTGAGGAGATGCCGTTGCTGCGGAATGATGTGTCCCAGCAACATGCGCGGTGCTCGAACCACGGCGACCGCGCCGTTAGTACAAATCACTCGCGATTGTGTTCCAAGATGGGCCCAGTTTGTGGGTGTGCGTGAGTTCATGTCCACTTCCAGCCGTCGAAGATGTGAGTGCACTCGACAACTTCTCAATCGGGTGAATGGCTTGCACGTTTAAGGGATTCAGAGACACAGAGATCGTACATGAGGTCAAGTAGAGTTGGGGTCAGATGCACTGTTGGACCCACGGACAAGCAAGAATAGTACGCCGTCACGACTCTACCGTGATTCCTGGGCGCCAGGACGAGGAACCTGCCGTGGCCGTTCCGCACAGCCATGAGCTGCGTAAATGGTACTGATGCAAGTGTTGGTTAGCGCTTAGCACAACACCAAGAAGTTGACAGGGCTTACGTCGACCATGGGCACACCGACCTTGTGTTCGAACTTGGGAGATCCCGATGGTATATTTTCTGGTTATATATTGATTTTTCAAAATATTCCACAAGCCAAAAATGCAAACTTTTTGCATTTTTGGAAATGCGCGATTCTTCTGAGTTTGCGCGTACACGCAGAGGATGTGCCGCTGGCATCATGACTCAGCCGCGCAATACGTGTATGATTTTGCCCGACAGAAGTGTGAAGTCGCTGTGGAAGTATGGCCTTTTCGTGGTGCGGTTCATCCCGATGCAAACGACGCCCACCTTGGTGTCGAAATCTTTGCCTGAGATATACTCGTCATGAGCTTACTACTGAGAGCTCGACGTGGCATGTCAATAAGCCGATGAGTCGATGCTGAAGTCAAACGGCGGTGGGGCGCTGAAAGCGCAGATTGTTGACAAGTATCAATAAGTTTACCCTAGCATAAATATACATATACACGTGCCTCTCACCTGTCGCGACGAGACGGCGTGCTTCCTATTGCAGTATCATGCGTTCCGGTATCGTCGTTGGCATGATCTTTTGGCCGAGAGCAGATGTTCGTTCGGTATCGTGAAGGCATTCGCGCATGATGAGAGTGCGGTGGAGCTCCTTTTGGAGGTAACTCAGCGAGGGCTGGTCGTTTGCGTCGTCGTCGCCCAACAGTACGCAATCGATGGTAATGTGATCGTATTCGCCGCAATTGCCGCACCTCACAATGTCCTTCTTTGCCGATCGACACGGCGTTGTGCCCAAAAAGTCGCCGCAACCGTTGTACTCGAGAGGGCCGCGGCGAAAGACTGCGCCTCGTACTTGCAAGTCGGACAACGAACGGTTGCGAGGGATAACTGCTTCACGGACCAGGAGCTTTTCCGCTTTCTCGAACGATTGCGCGCGTAGGATCGGACGCAGCTCGTTCGTCATGTCGACGTCGCTGACGAGGTGGCTGCTCATGGTCAAGTGCATGTATCTAGGAAAATTTTGTTATGACATTACTTTAACATGTCACGGCCAGTTGACAAAACCAGGTACTACTTGTCCTCCTTTTGACATTTGGAATTCTTAGCGTCACACTTTCTCCCATCTAACGTCTTCGTTAAACTCCATGGGTTAAATGCGTTTTTTTCACCCATTGCCACCAGTGCCAGTTCAGCTCACCCACTTACCCTCTCTCTTGACATCTATTCGCCACTGTCTTGCTGTGCTCAACAGCTACTTCCAAAGAGCACCTCTCACGCTGCTGAATCGCACGATTCATGTCTCTACAAGGCCTTGCTGCGTTTATGCATGATTGATTCAATTTGTAAGTGCGTTAAATCACGATATCCGGAATAACGTTAAAATACTATTCGATGCCGAAAAACCATGATTCCGAACACGACTTATCCTGTACTTTCAGATCGTTGGAGTGGTCGATGTATGCCCTTCCAGGGCACGCACTTCCACACGTGATGGGTAGACCTCTTCAAGTCCTTTCAATGGACGCTTGGAGATGCTATAATTGCCTGACCGCGCCAAGCGTCGCGCTCGCACGTCTTCACCTATCCACCGCGCGAAATCTCATGGAAGGCCAAACGATGGAACCTCTGATTGGCTATATTAAACGCTTCAACCAATCAAACGAAAGGACGGCTGGTGACGAAGGTGCGTAAGCAAGACAGCTCGATCATCGGTTACATTCTATGGGAAGCCAGGCGAGTGGGATTCATGACGCGCGTTGGGCTGTCGGCGTGCTTCCGACGGAGCCCGTGAGGGGACATGCATGGACGGACGCATCCCGCAGCGTGAATCCGTGCGATGGGCAAGATGTCGCAAGGGTGAAGGAAACCACACGTCAGCCATTTGCCCTGTCCCACAAGGTACTCGTTGCGAATTGTCACGGACGACGTTCGTGTGCCTCCTGTGGAGGCGTGTGAAGACGGGGGCGCACAACTACTAGTGTTGAATGGAATAACCAGGGCATCGATTACCGCAGGGACCGACGGTGACGAGGGTTCGCGGAAACACCCCTGGTCATGCATGGAGGTGCCCCATGCGACGATGACGATGCTCTGCAACATATCCAAGAAGATCTCTCAAAGCCATTGAATTACAGCCCAACACGTGGAAAGGACAGGCGGCTCGGCGAACACTGCGGGTGAGGTAGTGGATGTATCAATCTGGGGAGAATGACCGTGGGGGCCGCGCGACCGCGTTGGTGGATGGCGCGTGCGTGCGCTCGAGTTCGCAAGTCCTGCTTCGGTACAAGCCACTCAGATTTCTGGATCATGCGTCCAATCTCTTTTTTCCGAACTGCATGTATTCTCTATGTTTTCATGATTGTCCGAAATATTTGATTGTTTTTTAGTGAAATCTCGATTTTATCACAATGGAGGAGCAGCGCCATCTGGGGCAACTGTACCGCCGCAGTCCCGCGCTTCCAGGGGAATGGCCGAGTCTATTCCTCGCACGGCAGCATCGAGGAGTGTCTGGAGAGCCACTGTTGTTGGCACGAGGTTGGCAGTGACGACACCACGGACGCATGCAATGAGGTCTTGATGCGCCTGGGCTGCGAACTTGGTCAGACACGCCTCGACTGCAGCTGCAGACAGCGGTATGTTGTGGGTGTTTGAATGTCGGAACAGGGCAGCGGCATCTTTGGCTGTAGGAGCAGCGGGTAACAGCGCTTCAAGCAATGGTGCTAGGCATGAATGTCAGGATGCATCCGTTACAAGCAAAATGGAGCAGCACATACAGTCGATCCGGGAGGCCCTTTCAGGAACTGCAAGTAAGTGAAAGAGCTCCATCACTCGTTCCTCTTGTCGTCGAAGCAAAGCGTCCACAATGAGCTGCTGGGACGCGGTATCTTCTCCATTGCGCCTCCTCGCTTCGTCGAGGGTTTGCATCGTCAAGTGGAGCATTGCATGGTCAGAATGAGCAGGCTGCCCTTCATTTTGACACAGCAGAATCGCATACAACTCGCTCGCCAAATCGTAACCTTCATGACAAAGCGCCTTGACCACCGCGTCGGCAAGCAATGCTGACGATAGTGGCATGCCATGTTGATTGGCTTCAAGTAAACGGTGTGCCCAGTCCAGTGGCGCGTTAGGTTGGTCGAGCCCAGCCGAATAGACGGAATCGTCCACATGGATATGATGGCGGATCGCGTGATCCACCACAGCGTCTACTGCATCCTTTCGCGCACCTTGCTTTAAAACCGACAGAGCTAATCAATATTTCACACTTTCACTTCGACATGGCGACGACATCGAACGCTTACCAATATCGTTGAGCAGACGCGGTGGGAGGGTGAGGTGATGCTGTTCCATGAGTTGGAAAATGTGCCAAGCATACGTACGGTCGTGGTATTTGTAAAACGATACAAGGCTCTCGTACAAGGCTTGTCGAGTGGCAGCAACCTTGGAAGCTACAACCACACATCAAAACAAATAGCAACAAATTTGAGCTTGCCTGTGAAGTCAGATGAAGTTTGGACAATCGCAAGCATGAGCTGGTGCACCACGTCCTGCACAGACCCTGGTGGCAACTGAGCAATGCATGCCACCGCTTCGTCAAGGATGCCTCTTCGAAAGCATGCCGAAAGAATAGAGTCTCCCAGGCCAGGATAGGACATTGGTGCAACTAACCCAGCTGCGCAGCACCGGGAGAAGAGCGACGTGAATATCCGGCAGTCGAACTCATCGGCGGTCGTGCCCTCGACAGCAGAGTCCTCGTACTCTTCGTCGCGACCGAGGAGGAAGCATTGATGGAATGCATCGGCAGCAATAGGAATGCGATGCTCCAAAGCCATATGCAGAGCTTGAACAATTCGGGGCAAGTCGCTTGCTTGGACGAGGAAGAGCAGCATCTCTCGAAACGCAGGAGGCGGTGGTACCACGTCCAGATCGTTATACGCAGCAAGAAGCGGACTTGCCAATATTCGCTGTTGCTTCAAGAAGAACGCAATCGTGCTTCGTTGCACTCGTGCAGCATCTTTCTTGGCTGCGAGCTGCTCAATCAGTGCCATCACGTTCTGCAAGCTCTTTGGCGTCTCCTTGGTCGTCAGCTTGTACATGTCCATGGCAGCATGGAACTCACCATCCAGCAAGTGATGCTGAAGCTTCTGAGCGTAGATATCTCCTGAAACCGAGCTCCATCGTCGCACGCCAGTACTCCCGCGCCAAGTCAACGTCGCGACCCTCCTGCCGCGCATGTCTGTGTGCTGATGAAATTGACTCGTGAGAAATTACTCCTTTTGATTGGCTATATGCTCGGACTATTGACGAATCAGGGGTCAATATTTTGGTGGAAAAATCCTCAAATACAATATTTGTATCCGGACAGAATATCTCCCAAATATAATGTTTCCAAAGATCTCAACTGCGCCGGTTCATCATCAGCCAATTCGCCGCCGCAATGTGGAGCCGCTGCGTCGTTACTTGGGTGGCAACTGCCGCAATCCTTGTAGCTGCTCAAGTCCAGGAAATTGACGTCTTGCCGCTCCTGCCGTTCCGTCCGTATCAGCTTCCTCGCATGCGGTGGACGGATCTCAATCGTGTTCTTGGCGAACGAGCCAGCGACAAGATGATCGTGAGCAAGCCGATGGACACGATGCTTGGCAAAATCAATGTTCCCAAAGAAGACGCAAAGGCTTTTGAATCGTTGTCTCCGATGGAAGTCAAGAGCTTGCACGGCGATGACGAGTTCTTGGGCGAAAGACAAGTGTACATCGCGTACGACATGATTCACGAAGGCGACATTCCCTCCGCGCTCAAATTGCTCGACCAAGTAAAGGACCAAGTGTCACGACAGTTTGGAAAAAAGCATCCCTTGTATGCGAACGCGCTTGCCGATCTCGGGTTTGCGTATATGGAGCAAAAGGACTACATCAAGTCCAACACATTGCTCGTTGAAGCGATGAATGTCGACGAAGGTACGAATGACTCGACATGCGACCACGTTGTTTATTCCAGACATTAGAGCTCCAGGAAAAATTTGGCGTGTACAACACAGCCGCGTCGATTAACTTGATGGCAACGTCGGCGCTTGCGTCTGGTGCCGGCAACTTCAATGCCCTCAGCAATGCGTACGAGTCGGCGTTTAATGGACTGCACAAGGAATCCCATGCATGTACGTGAATATTTGCCAATTGGGTAACCCATGACGATTGCATCTTGCAGCGCAACTCGAAATCCTCATGAACTTGGCCAACATGTACCGCCTCCACTGGCTGCCGCTTCGATCGATCAACATGTTTAAACTGGCAAAGAACTACGCCAAAAACCCGTCCATCAAGTATGCCGACTTGCTGCTGGGGCTCGGGGCAAGCTACATCATGGAGGGCGAATTCCACCAAGGCGATATCATTCTTACGTCTGCCATCGCCATGTAACAACATTCCTGCCAACCCTACTGCGACCTCAAGTGAGGCGCTTGGACCTGTAGGTACGAAGAGTTGGATCGACAAGACAGCCATGGCCATATCGAGGCCACGTACTACTTGGCGACGGCAGAGCTCCTCCAGCACAAGTATGGAGCCGCCCTCGCGCACTTCCAGGCAGCTCGGAAGGCTCTGTCTCGGACGTCGCCATCAAACGAGGCGTACCCGTGTGCCAAAGCCACGATCATGACTTCGATTGGCGAATGCATTGCAGCCATGGGATACACCGACCAAGCCATCGGCATGCTCGAGGCTGCCAAGGCGCTCCTGGCGTGAGTGTGCTGCACCTAGTCATTGTTCCTGAATTTGATTACTGCTTTGCAGTGACCACGCAGCGTCGCTGGAGAACGAGTTGTTCGCACCATACATTTACTTGAAGATCGATCATTTACTCGCCACGTTGTGGGACGAAGACAAAGAGCCCGAAGTGAAGCAGCAGCATCATGCGAGCGCATACGAGGCCGCCGTCGCTCTCTTTGGCGAAACTCATGCTTTGACACTGGCCCACAAGGTGTAGCAATTCAGCTACATCACCAAGTACCATAGATGCAATGAATTAAGCGAGACTAGCATGATCGTCTTGAAGGTGCGCCATCGTCGTACCATAGGCCCAAAATGTTATGGCGGCACCAGGAATTCCGCTACGACGAAATCAAAGCCGTTCAAGGGGACGCACATGGGATGGGGCGCAGTCGTACCGGGAAAACGCCGCTTGCCACCCCTGAAAGACCCGACCCACGCCATGTTGCCGAACCAAGTGAAGACCAGTTCGAATCATCCCATGGGGTTGTGTGCCTGCCTCGTGCGCCGACACTTGGATGACGGTCTTGACCTGTCGGCGCATCAGTGTTAGCTCCGAGTTCAGGATGGTTCCAGGAGGTCGTACGGTATCAAATGGCAAGGCAATCGTCCAAAACGCAATGCCGCCAGATGCACCTGCAACTAATACGCGAGATGCCGGCGCCCAGTCATCGGGTAGTACTGTTCTAAGCGAAGACGGCTGGCTTCAGTTTGAGGACGATGGAAGAGTCCCAGTACTTGATACAGTCAAACGTGACAAAGTAGAATGCCACACCCAGCGCATCTCGCGTGATGGTGCACGACAGGCCCTTCCACAACGCCATCGGACCTACATGCCATGATTGTATGTGAATAGTTAAATCGGAGAATGGATGAATGAATCCATTGCCTTCGTGCTTGGTAACTTGGCGGATAACATCAATACTCCCTTTGTACTTTGCATTCGCCGTGTCCTGTTGCTGGATCTGAAGGCGGTTCCGTACGAGCTCCACCGGTGCGACTAGAAATGCATTGATGCCACTACATGGGCATGAGTGCGATATTTCCTGGACCTGTGGAAGCAGCATTACCCAGCGATTGCACCCGCGCACGTGGAAAGGAAAAGCGGCGACGGACGGTCCATGTGTGTCGACATGAATGAGCGCGCTCGCCCTTGCACGGAGAAGATTACCGACTTGTACACAGCTTGGGAGAAGAATGGCGGAAAGAATCCCTTGTACAACCCTCGAAGACCTTCATGACGCAACGTTGTACCGACCACAGTCGAGAACGAAGACGACGACGAGTGCTGCAATCGCGTGCGTATCGTGTCCAGAGGGTGGCACACAATAACGCTAGACATGCCTGAGATGGACCCAGCAATGACGAGCTGACGGAACGACGGCGGCGGGCGGTCTATCGTCATCGACATGTAGCGCTGGTGCCGCTTTGAGTTTTTGTCATCTCCACCTGTGTAAAAGCAACCAATCAGATCACTGTAGCTCTTCAATATCGAATCAAATAGTTAACGCATTGTGAAAACGATTTGATTGGCTATACAAAGGTGCTGCACTTCATTTTAGATTCTTTAAAGTATTTTAGGAACTTTTCGACTTGTTTTGTTTCAATCGGAATGCAATACTAGTATGTACTAGAGATTCTTATAAAGGTGGAGAATATACTATTTATAGTACTTCAAACGAAAATCAAATCGGTTCTGATTGGATAAAAAATACTTGAAGTATCCCATGTCGACCAAACAGTAAGTTGGAATCCCCCTCGTTGCGAACCATGGCGAAGTCGCGGTGGTTCCTCGGCCTGGCTGTGTTCATCGGGCTCTTGGCGGCGTTCTGGCCACAGATCGAAGAGGTTCTCTTCAAGGGATGCCCCATTACGTTCATGGGTCTACGAGCGCCAAGTCAGGCGACGAAGAAGCCAGCGTTTGACGTGACGAAGGACATCGGTCTGGCGCATCTCCCGGCCTTTACCATCGAGGAACTCAAGCAGTACGATGGGACGGACGAATCGCGACCAATCTACATGGCTGTCGGCGGCGTTGTTCTGGACGTAACCAGCGGAAGCAAGTTTTACCAGAAGGGAGCCGAGTACAATCAATTCGCCGGCCAGGTGTGCTTTCCTCCATTTTCACCCACGAAAAGTGCGTTGACGCCACGATATCCACACAGGCTTGCACACGTGCGCTCGCATTAGCTTCCCTCGATGTCAAGGACATCAACGACGACGTGTCGGACTTCACACCAGCGCAAGAAAAGGAGCTGGAAGCGACCCTGTCGTTCTACCAAGGCAAGTACCCTAAGGTATGGCAGCTCGGTCGATTTGTACCTCCCACTGCATTTCTTAGGTCGGCGTCCTTGCTGTGACGAGATTCCCCGAAGACAAATAAACGGGCTTCGAATGCACAATAGATTTACAACGCATCGTGCATGCCTCGCTCGTCGTAGTTCTCACAGCCAGCTCGACCGCATGACGTCGTCAACTCGACGTGCCATTTTCGTTGTGCGTTGCTGTCGTGGGGCGGGAAGCTTGGGGGGAACGTGCCCCTGGACGTCGTGCACTAGAGCAACCACTGTAGACAACGCCACCGTACCGACTGCAATCAGTAGAACGATCCATGCACTGCTGGTAGCGACTGCATCTGTCGTTGCCGTCGATATATCGTTGGTGCCATTACGACGAGTGCGACTGTCTTGGTTTGTCGGGTTGGCGACTGGATCGGGGCGAGCTGGGCTGACTGAACCGCGAGCACGATCGGACGTGGACTCGGCCGTACTGCGGCCACCATGAGTTGGCACTGTCGTCGGCAAACAATACGTCACGTTGAGCACTACGCTCAGCGGGCAGTGCCGCGTCGGCCGCCGGGTCGAGTCGGTGGACGACAGTGGCTGGCAAGTCAAAGGCCCGTGTTGGAATGCCACGGGCGCGACGGTCGTTGGAGTGCCTTGACGACCCCACAACACGTTCAGTGCCTATGATGGGACTTCGTGCTTGTACCTGGTCCAGCGTGGAATTCAAACCGAACTTGCCACCATGCATCACGGGGCATGTCCTGCGCATACGCCAGACCTACACGAACGCATGGCGGCCTCTCCATGCAACGTCGACGACACCCCACGTACTCAACACGTCTCCAACGACACGAAACGAGCCTTGGGCTGCAGTCGCGGTGGCGCGGCACATGCTGGACGTGGACCCATTTGGCCCGAGGCGGCAAATCACGCGGCCCTCGTCCATTTGCACTAGCACGTTGACAGGACAAGCATTTGTGAATCGGAATTCCACCGCTGCGCCGACGCAGACGGCAAGCGCCACAAGTGCCACGTGTTGCATTGCGCTGGCTGCTCAAGAGTGCGCATCGAGGGGTGTTGTCTTCCAGGGTAGAAACCAAAGACACAGGCGCTGTAAAATGCGCGATCGGCACTTTCTTCGGGTCGTTCCCGGAGGATCTCATCCGCCTCTCGATTGGAATTGAGGACATCCAAGATTTGATCCACGACCTCCAGCGTGCTTTCCAGAGCTTCTCGACGTCTGCGTAGACGGCGTTTCTGCGGCATGCGTGCGTCGCCACGACGACACCGCGATGGCTCGCTTTCCCCTCGTGCGTGCAGGGCAACGACCCATCCAGTGCGTTTTTTGCGCAAGCGTCCAACCTGGCGCTGCTGCATGCGCCGCCATAAATCGTGAACGAAATAGAAGCATTCCTCGTTTATAGCACCCCGTACGACGTCCACCAGCGACATGGTGCTGGTCCATTTGCACGTGCATGTAGCCTCTCGTCTGGATCGATCCGTGGCTGCTGCGATGCCAGCACTCCCGTGGCCATCCTCCATGGCACATCAAAGCGACTCGATCGCTCCAAAAAACGGAAACGAATGCATTAAATACGACGCTGTGGCGATCGCTATTTGGCGAGGACGTACCCGCCTTCCGTGACGAGGTCAAAGAAGATGCCGGCACCGGCGCCAACGAGGGCCGCGGGAGTGTCATTCTGGACCAACCGGCCTTGGTCAAACACGAGGATGCGGTCGCAGTCAAGGACCGTGTCGAGGCGGTGGGCGATCGTGAGCACCGTGGACGACGCAAACTCGGACCGCACGACTTGCTGCAGGAGCTGGTCCGTGGCGCGATCGATGGCCGCTGTGGCCTCGTCGAGAATGACGATCTTGGCCTGCCGCAACAACGCGCGGGCCATGCACAGCATCTGGCGCTCGCCGACACTAAAGTTTTCTCCGTTCTCGTCCACCGGTCCGAGCAGCTTGTCGGCGGCGACGCGGTCGACAAGCTGCACCTTCTTGAGCGCTTGCCACAGGTCGTCGTCGTCGTATTCGTCGAACGGGTCGAGGTAGTTGCGCAGCGTGCCCTTGAAGAGGACGGGGTTTTGCGGGATGATGGCCAGGTGGCTGCGTAGGTTGTGGAGACCAACGTCGGCAATGTCGACGCCGTCGATGCGGATGTGGCCAGCCGCGACGTCGTTCATGCGGAACAGCGACATCATCAAGCTGGACTTGCCGGCGCCGGTGCGGCCAACGATGCCGACCTTTTCGCCGCCAGCCACGGAGAAGCTCACGTCTTGCAGCACGAGCGGGTCGGTCGCCTTGTACCGGTAACTCACGTGGTCAAAGTGGACGTGTCCGTGGGCTGGCCACGACGGGTCGGCCTTGTCCAAGCCCGTGTGACGGTCCCCTTCCTTGGTCAGTTGGATGTACTCGTGCAGGCGCTCGGGAGCGATCAGCGCCGTCTCCATGCGCGCCCAAATGTTGACGAGTCCCGCCAAGTTGGCTGGAATGGTCAAGCCGTACGTGATAACGAGCGCGACCAGGCCTGGGCTCACGACGTCATGCATGACGACGATGCCCATCAAGAGGGCAAACACAATCGAGCAACTGATGAGCTCGACGCGCAGACCAAACCACTGGTTGGTCGCGATGCCGACGAAACGAGCCGACACGAATGCTTCGAGGAGGGCGTCGTGGACGCGGTTGAATCGACGGACGTACTTGGGCCCGAACGCGCGGATGGTCGTGGACCCGTCGATGCCTTCGCTGACCAAACTCAAGAGCGGCGACCGCGTCGTCTTTTGGATACGATTGACTTCGCGCAGCGGGGCCAAAAAGTACGCGCCGAGCACGTAGTAGATCGCCATGAGGGGGACGACGACGAGCCCCATCCACTGCGTGATGGCGATCGTGGTGACGATCTTGGTCATGGCGGCGGCCGTCTCGACCAGGATCGGCGCAAACGTGAACGGAATCGCCAGGTCCACTTGCATGACGTCGTCCCCGAACCGATTCAGAATGCGTCCGATCGGGTTCGTGTCGAAGAATGCCATGGGCGCCGCCAGCAGACCCTGCACCATGTCGGCAAACAGCTTCTTGGCGCCACGCATGCCGTAGAGGAGCACCGACAGGATCTGCACGACGGTCGCGATGCACGTGGCGACGACCAGAATGGCGTAGATTGTGATGTTGTGGTTGGTCTCGGCGCGGAACGCGGCCGGTGACAGCTGCGTGCTTTGGTTGGACCAGTGCGAGAGCCACATGTCGCTCGTGACCTTGATCGCTTCGACGGCGAGCGTGAGGACAACCATCACGACCATCGACGACCACCCACCGATCGCTCGGATGTACTCGACCACGACCGCTTTGGACACGCGGCCTTCGGCGCGCTCTTCGTCCACGACGAGGGTGCCACTGGTCAAAGGTGCTGCAGCACTGGGTTTGCGGCAGTCGCTGTCGTCGCCGCAAAGCACCAAGTCGTCGACAGAGTCGTGGGCATCCACCGCCCAGTATGCAGTCGGGGGGCGCAGAGGGGCGATACACGTTGGTGCCGGGACGGGTTTCGGTGATGTCGTGGTGCGGCGGGTCGACTCGGTGACGGTCCCGTCTTGGACGACGAACGTTCGGTGGACGTGGGGTGACTGGATGATGTCGTGGCTGTGGGTAACCAGGACGATCGTCTTGTGGCGCAGGAGGCCGAGGAAGCACTTGGTGAAGATCTCGTTCTGCACGATCGCGTCGACGGCCGACAGCGGCGAGTCGAGCACAAAGATGTCGGCGTCACTGTAGCACGCGCGGGCCAAGCTCACGCGGGCCTTCTGTCCCCCCGACAGGTTGATGCCTTTCTGGCCGATCTCGGTGCGGTCCCCGGCAGGGAGCGCCGCGATGTCCTTGGTCAGCGCGCACGCTTCGACCACACTCGCGTACTTGGCGGCGTCGAACGGCTTGCCAAACAGGATGTTGTCTCGGATGGTTGCGTTTTGGATCCACGGCTGCTGGGCAAAGTACGCGACGTCGCCGGCCACAAAGACCGACCCGTCCAGTCGGCGCATCTCGCCGAGCAGCGCCGCACACAAGGACGACTTGCCTTGACCGACGGCGCCGTGAATCACGACGAATTGACCTTGCTGGATGGTCAGGTTGACGTCTGCGAAAAGGACCGAGTGGGGTTCGGGGGAGGTGGCAGCCTTGGCGTTGGGGTCGACAGCCTCCGCTCGACCGACCTTGGCAGTCGCGTCCGTGGTGGTGTCTGTGGCGGGTGCCGGGTGCCACCCAAACGACCCGTGCTCAAACGCGATCACGGTGTGGTCAGCGGCGTACTTGGCCTTGAGCACGGCGTTGGTCGCCGGCGTCTGCACATCGGACGGGTCGCACTCGTCCATGAGCAGCACTGTGTTGATGCGCGTCACCGAGACAAAGCACTGCACGGTCGCCATGACAACGACGGGGAGGCTGATGAGGGCGTCTTGGAGCGACTTGAACAACGCCAGAGTTGTAAAGACAATCTCGACAGTCAGCGCCTCGTTCATCCACAGGGTGTACGTGGCAAAGACAGTGATCGTCACCAACACGGGCGTGGTAAACATAAACATGATGAGGACGAGGTAGTACCGCATAAAGTTCCAGATCGAGACGAGCTCGGCGAGACGGAGCTCCGTGAGCTTGTCCAGGAATTTCTCTTCCCACGCGTTGAACTTGACGATTTGGATGGCCCCAAACACTTCGTGGACGACCTTCATGCGGTCGTCTTTGGCCTTGAATAGCACCTCCTGCTCCTTCCCGAGCAGGATGGCCACGAATGCGTTGACGACGAGAATGACAAACACGGCGGCGAGGCCCACAAAGATGGACCACCCCACCTGGACGTACAGCAAGTAGAGCACGACCGCGACCTGCACCGGCACGATCCAAATCAAGTTCATGTTGGTGGCAAACTCCATGACGTTGATGACGTCCGTGGAAAAGAGGTTGGCGATGTCGCCCGCGGACTTTTCCTTCTTCGACTTGGCGTTCAGCTTGAGCGCCTTCTCAAACAGCATCGAGCGCAGGCTGGATGCGAACTGGACGCCGATCACGTCGTTCATAAACTTCATATGGGCCTTCACAAACGTACTCACGACCTGGATGCCGTAGAGCGAGAGGGCCATGAGGGACGTCGCGGTGGGGTCGAAGACGGGTTGCTGCACGGCCTTGACCACGCTCTTTAGCACGTACGCGGGTCCGTAGAGGTCGCACGCCGCCGTGAAGAGTTGCATGAACGCCACGACGACAAGCTGGACGCAGTAGATGGAGAAGAAGGCGCGGAGGAGGCTCTTGCCGCAGCTCGCGTACACGATGGCGTACGTGGACGCGAGTGCTCGGGCCTTGTTGTACGCTTGGAGAGGCCACATGTCTTGGGGGTGGAGTTGGCGCTGGTTACCTTGACGAATGAGCGCGCTGGCCCACCCAAAGATGGCCTTCGAGAGGACGTTGGCGTTGTCGATGGGGTGGGGATGCTCCGCGAGGTCGGGGAAGGAGCCACCATCGCCGCGAGGACTCTTGAGGACGGCGAAGTCCGTGGCAGGGCTGTCGCTTTGCATGGCACGACGACCGAGCAGATTCGACAATGCGTGGCGCGATTTGGTTGTCAAAAGCAACGACATGCATTCCGATGAGTGTTGGTCGACGATTGGGACATATGCACGTCGCCAAGGCTTCGTGTCAACGGCATGGCGTTCTGAGCAATCGGGGAGAGGTTCTGAGGTATGGGGGGATTCTGAGCTATCGAGGAGAGTCGCTCTTGTCCGCTTCTGTGGCGACTGGGGGGGCTGGCCGAGACTGGGGGCGCCGTTGCCCAAATTGCCCGCCCAGTTGAAGTACTACTCTGGATGGGTCGACCCCGTACCTACATTCTGGAAGAGTGTGTGTTTGTTGACTCGATGGTGTCTGCTGGTGGCGCGCTCCCCCCTGTTCCGGGCGAGGAAGGAATTGAAGAGGGAGTTCAGTTGGGCTCGTGTGGTGCAATACTTGAATCGGTGCCTTGGCATGAGCATTGCCAAGCGTCTGGAGCTGTGTACAAGGCTGGCATGCATCTGTCGTCGATTGGACACCCTCGCTGAGTGCGAATTCGCAACATGGGAGCATCCGACTCTCGTCCGGATCCGACCGTGGCTGCTGCGATGCCATGGGCGTGCGCCAAGTCACTTTATCTGATACGCGGCGAAGGAATCAATGGAGAATCCAGAGGCACAAGTGATCGTGGACCCGCGGAGAGGTACACCGCCTTTAGAGCGATGGGCTTCTTTCAAGTGGGTTCAAAACGACGCAGGAGCGCCGTAGAGTGAAGAAACGTACATGATTTTCGTGGGCGCGTGTCAAAGTGCACGAAACATCTCTGCGGGCTGTAAGTACTATCCACAGCCACTCGACGATGAACACAGGATCGATCGAGGCGAGGTCGTTCAAGGCATGGTTTCTTAGAGCTAGTCACTGGAATGCTCGATAGTTCACTTTTGCAGCTTCAAGGACGAATGCATTTCAGTGGTTGTTTGGGGGGCTTGTTGAAGGAGTGGAAGGTCTGGGTGGAGGCTTGCGTGTGAAGTTGGCCGAGGTGTTCGAACCGGAGAAGGGTTCAATTTAGCGTAGTGAGTTCGTGTTGAGGATGACGTCTTGACTGGGTGGCAAGCCATCCGTCAGGGGATCGCAATGATTTGAGGTACTGCAAGAAGTATGGATCCTGAATCCTCCAAGCTTCACAAAACGATACTGGAAGAATAACACGAAGGCAACGACTTCGTGGGGATTTCGACTCGGGCTCTTATGTATTAAAGTCCGCGCAAAGTAACTTGGCGCACGCCCATGGCATCGCAGCAGCCACGGTCGGATCCGGACGAGAGTCGGATGCTCCCATGTTGCGAATTCGCACTCAGCGAGGGTGTCCAATCGACGACAGATGCATGCCAGCCTTGTACACAGCTCCAGACGCTTGGCAATGCTCATGCCAAGGCACCGATTCAAGTATTGCACCACACGAGCCCAACTGAACTCCCTCTTCAATTCCTTCCTCGCCCGGAACAGGGGGGAGCGCGCCACCAGCAGACACCATCGAGTCAACAAACACACACTCTTCCAGAATGTAGGTACGGGGTCGACCCATCCAGAGTAGTACTTCAACTGGGCGGGCAATTTGGGCAACGGCGCCCCCAGTCTCGGCCAGCCCCCCCAGTCGCCACAGAAGCGGACAAGAGCGACTCTCCTCGATAGCTCAGAATCCCCCCATACCTCAGAACCTCTCCCCGATTGCTCAGAACGCCATGCCGTTGACACGAAGCCTTGGCGACGTGCATATGTCCCAATCGTCGACCAACACTCATCGGAATGCATGTCGTTGCTTTTGACAACCAAATCGCGCCACGCATTGTCGAATCTGCTCGGTCGTCGTGCCATGCAAAGCGACAGCCCTGCCACGGACTTCGCCGTCCTCAAGAGTCCTCGCGGCGATGGTGGCTCCTTCCCCGACCTCGCGGAGCATCCCCACCCCATCGACAACGCCAACGTCCTCTCGAAGGCCATCTTTGGGTGGGCCAGCGCGCTCATTCGTCAAGGTAACCAGCGCCAACTCCACCCCCAAGACATGTGGCCTCTCCAAGCGTACAACAAGGCCCGAGCACTCGCGTCCACGTACGCCATCGTGTACGCGAGCTGCGGCAAGAGCCTCCTCCGCGCCTTCTTCTCCATCTACTGCGTCCAGCTTGTCGTCGTGGCGTTCATGCAACTCTTCACGGCGGCGTGCGACCTCTACGGACCCGCGTACGTGCTAAAGAGCGTGGTCAAGGCCGTGCAGCAACCCGTCTTCGACCCCACCGCGACGTCCCTCATGGCCCTCTCGCTCTACGGCATCCAGGTCGTGAGTACGTTTGTGAAGGCCCATATGAAGTTTATGAACGACGTGATCGGCGTCCAGTTCGCATCCAGCCTGCGCTCGATGCTGTTTGAGAAGGCGCTCAAGCTGAACGCCAAGTCGAAGAAGGAAAAGTCCGCGGGCGACATCGCCAACCTCTTTTCCACGGACGTCATCAACGTCATGGAGTTTGCCACCAACATGAACTTGATTTGGATCGTGCCGGTGCAGGTCGCGGTCGTGCTCTACTTGCTGTACGTCCAGGTGGGGTGGTCCATCTTTGTGGGCCTCGCCGCCGTGTTTGTCATTCTCGTCGTCAACGCATTCGTGGCCATCCTGCTCGGGAAGGAGCAGGAGGTGCTATTCAAGGCCAAAGACGACCGCATGAAGGTCGTCCACGAAGTGTTTGGGGCCATCCAAATCGTCAAGTTCAACGCGTGGGAAGAGAAATTCCTGGACAAGCTCACGGAGCTCCGTCTCGCCGAGCTCGTCTCGATCTGGAACTTTATGCGGTACTACCTCGTCCTCATCATGTTTATGTTTACCACGCCCGTGTTGGTGACGATCACTGTCTTTGCCACGTACACCCTGTGGATGAACGAGGCGCTGACTGTCGAGATTGTCTTTACAACTCTGGCGTTGTTCAAGTCGCTCCAAGACGCCCTCATCAGCCTCCCCGTCGTTGTCATGGCGACCGTGCAGTGCTTTGTCTCGGTGACGCGCATCAACACAGTGCTGCTCATGGACGAGTGCGACCCGTCCGATGTGCAGACGCCGGCGACCAACGCCGTGCTCAAGGCCAAGTACGCCGCTGACCACACCGTGATCGCGTTTGAGCACGGGTCGTTTGGGTGGCACCCGGCACCCGCCACAGACACCACCACGGACGCGACTGCCAAGGTCGGTCGAGCGGAGGCTGTCGACCCCAACGCCAAGGCTGCCACCTCCCCCGAACCCCACTCGGTCCTTTTCGCAGACGTCAACCTGACCATCCAGCAAGGTCAATTCGTCGTGATTCACGGCGCCGTCGGTCAAGGCAAGTCGTCCTTGTGTGCGGCGCTGCTCGGCGAGATGCGCCGACTGGACGGGTCGGTCTTTGTGGCCGGCGACGTCGCGTACTTTGCCCAGCAGCCGTGGATCCAAAACGCAACCATCCGAGACAACATCCTGTTTGGCAAGCCGTTCGACGCCGCCAAGTACGCGAGTGTGGTCGAAGCGTGCGCGCTGACCAAGGACATCGCGGCGCTCCCTGCCGGGGACCGCACCGAGATCGGCCAGAAAGGCATCAACCTGTCGGGGGGACAGAAGGCCCGCGTGAGCTTGGCCCGCGCGTGCTACAGTGACGCCGAAATCTTTGTGCTCGACTCGCCGCTGTCGGCCGTCGACGCGATCGTGCAGAACGAGATCTTCACCAAGTGCTTCCTCGGCCTCCTGCGCCACAAGACGATCGTCCTGGTTACCCACAGCCACGACATCATCCAGTCACCCCACGTCCACCGAACGTTCGTCGTCCAAGACGGGACCGTCACCGAGTCGACCCGCCGCACCACGACATCACCGAAACCCGTCCCGGCACCAACGTGTATCGCCCCTCTGCGCCCCCCGACTGCATACTGGGCGGTGGATGCCCACGACTCTGTCGACGACTTGGTGCTTTGCGGCGACGACAGCGACTGCCGCAAACCCAGTGCTGCAGCACCTTTGACCAGTGGCACCCTCGTCGTGGACGAAGAGCGCGCCGAAGGCCGCGTGTCCAAAGCGGTCGTGGTCGAGTACATCCGAGCGATCGGTGGGTGGTCGTCGATGGTCGTGATGGTTGTCCTCACGCTCGCCGTCGAAGCGATCAAGGTCACGAGCGACATGTGGCTCTCGCACTGGTCCAACCAAAGCACGCAGCTGTCACCGGCCGCGTTCCGCGCCGAGACCAACCACAACATCACAATCTACGCCATTCTGGTCGTCGCCACGTGCATCGCGACCGTCGTGCAGATCCTGTCGGTGCTCCTCTACGGCATGCGTGGCGCCAAGAAGCTGTTTGCCGACATGGTGCAGGGTCTGCTGGCGGCGCCCATGGCATTCTTCGACACGAACCCGATCGGACGCATTCTGAATCGGTTCGGGGACGACGTCATGCAAGTGGACCTGGCGATTCCGTTCACGTTTGCGCCGATCCTGGTCGAGACGGCCGCCGCCATGACCAAGATCGTCACCACGATCGCCATCACGCAGTGGATGGGGCTCGTCGTCGTCCCCCTCATGGCGATCTACTACGTGCTCGGCGCGTACTTTTTGGCCCCGCTGCGCGAAGTCAATCGTATCCAAAAGACGACGCGGTCGCCGCTCTTGAGTTTGGTCAGCGAAGGCATCGACGGGTCCACGACCATCCGCGCGTTCGGGCCCAAGTACGTCCGTCGATTCAACCGCGTCCACGACGCCCTCCTCGAAGCATTCGTGTCGGCTCGTTTCGTCGGCATCGCGACCAACCAGTGGTTTGGTCTGCGCGTCGAGCTCATCAGTTGCTCGATTGTGTTTGCCCTCTTGATGGGCATCGTCGTCATGCATGACGTCGTGAGCCCAGGCCTGGTCGCGCTCGTTATCACGTACGGCTTGACCATTCCAGCCAACTTGGCGGGACTCGTCAACATTTGGGCGCGCATGGAGACGGCGCTGATCGCTCCCGAGCGCCTGCACGAGTACATCCAACTGACCAAGGAAGGGGACCGTCACACGGGCTTGGACAAGGCCGACCCGTCGTGGCCAGCCCACGGACACGTCCACTTTGACCACGTGAGTTACCGGTACAAGGCGACCGACCCGCTCGTGCTGCAAGACGTGAGCTTCTCCGTGGCTGGCGGCGAAAAGGTCGGCATCGTTGGCCGCACCGGCGCCGGCAAGTCCAGCTTGATGATGTCGCTGTTCCGCATGAACGACGTCGCGGCCGGCCACATCCGCATCGACGGCGTCGACATTGCCGACGTTGGTCTCCACAACCTACGCAGCCACCTGGCCATCATCCCGCAAAACCCCGTCCTCTTCAAGGGCACGCTGCGCAACTACCTCGACCCGTTCGACGAGTACGACGACGACGACCTGTGGCAAGCGCTCAAGAAGGTGCAGCTTGTCGACCGCGTCGCCGCCGACAAGCTGCTCGGACCGGTGGACGAGAACGGAGAAAACTTTAGTGTCGGCGAGCGCCAGATGCTGTGCATGGCCCGCGCGTTGTTGCGGCAGGCCAAGATCGTCATTCTCGACGAGGCCACAGCGGCCATCGATCGCGCCACGGACCAGCTCCTGCAGCAAGTCGTGCGGTCCGAGTTTGCGTCGTCCACGGTGCTCACGATCGCCCACCGCCTCGACACGGTCCTTGACTGCGACCGCATCCTCGTGTTTGACCAAGGCCGGTTGGTCCAGAATGACACTCCCGCGGCCCTCGTTGGCGCCGGTGCCGGCATCTTCTTTGACCTCGTCACGGAAGGCGGGTACGTCCTCGCCAAATAGCGATCGCCACAGCGTCGTATTTAATGCATTCGTTTCCGTTTTTTGGAGCGATCGAGTCGCTTTGATGTGCCATGGAGGATGGCCACGGGAGTGCTGGCATCGCAGCAGCCACGGATCGATCCAGACGAGAGGCTACATGCACGTGCAAATGGACCAGCACCATGTCGCTGGTGGACGTCGTACGGGGTGCTATAAACGAGGAATGCTTCTATTTCGTTCACGATTTATGGCGGCGCATGCAGCAGCGCCAGGTTGGACGCTTGCGCAAAAAACGCACTGGATGGGTCGTTGCCCTGCACGCACGAGGGGAAATCGAGCCATCGCGGTGTCGTCGTGGCGACGCACGCATGCCGCCGTCTACGCAGACGTCGAGAAGCTCTGGAAAGCACGCTGGAGGTCGTGGATCAAGTCTTGGACGTCCTCAATTCCAATCGAGAGGCGGATGAGATCCTCCGGGAACGACCGTGCCTTGCGGACTTCTTCGGGGATGCTGGCATGCGACATCACGCCGGGCAGCGAAATGAGCGAGTTGACGCTGCCGAAACTGACCTGGAACGACGGACGCATGTGACCAAGCGCCATCGACAAGGAAAGCGACTTACCGTGATCTTGAACAGCTTGGTTGTGCTCACGATGTGTTGCGACAGCTTCAGGTTGCCCGTGCAAAACGTAATGACCGACCCGGCGCCGCGAGCTTGCTTGTCATGCATCGCCTTGTTTTCGTACGAAGGAAGGCCGGCGTAGTAGACCTACACGGCCAAGGTTTTCACCACCACGTCGATGAAACCCAGCCAAGTGCCAGCCGTACGTTGGTGACGGCAGGATGCGCATTGAGAAACAAAGCCACCCGCATCGCATTCGATTGAGCCGTCAGGACGCGAAGCCCCATTGTTTTGATGCCTGGTGAAACAGTTGAGCAAACGAAAAGGTGGCGATGGACGAACCGCGCAGCAAGAGCCAGCAGTCCATGGGGGCCAACCCCGTGCCTTCAGCGTTCTGGACAAAGTATAGGTCGCGACACAGCTCGGGGTCCCTACCCCCGTCCCCATTCTCGTTAGTGCATCGACGTGATCCATGCCAACGTACTTGGCGATGACGATGCCCGACATGGTATCCGAGTGGCCACACACAAACTTGGTCGCAGAGTGCATGCAGATGTCGGCGCCAAGGATCAACGGATTCTGGAGAATCGGACTCATCATCGTGTTGTCGACGCTCAGGAGCGCGCCAAATTCGTGGGCGGCTTGTGCCAGCGCCGGGATGTCGCAGATGCGTTGCATCGGGTTCGTTGGACTTTCCATCATCACGAGCTTCGTTTCATGGTTGAGCACCGCGCGGAGGTTGGCAGGGCCGTTGGGACCGCTCAAGTCGACGTACTTGATGTTCACGCCGTTCTTGGCCGTCAACTTGGACAGAAGGCGGTATGTGCCGCCGTACGAGTCGTCGCTCAACACGATTTGGTCGCCAGCCTTGGCGAGGCGCGAGATCGTGCTCAAGGCCGCCATGCCGCTCGTGAATGCGAATGCGCGATGACCTTTCTCGAGTTCCGCCATTTGCCGTTCCAACGCCGTGCGGGTTGGGTTGCCACTGCGGGTGTAGTCGTACGCACCGAATTCCGTGGCGGACTTTTGCGCGAATGTGGATGTTTGGTAGATGGGCATGGTGGCCGACCCGTGCGGGTCGTCTTTGCATGCTTCGAACGAGACAAGTTGGGTACTGAGGCCGTAGACTTCGTCGCCGTCGTCGTCGTTGTCTCGTTCGGCAAGGTCAGCATCGTCGACGGTTCCGTCCAGATGCGAACGGTTGCGTTTGTGGGCATCTTCATGATGTTCCTCTTCGCCGGAGACAAAGTTGGTCACATAACTGCGTTCGAGGAGGCTTTCCAAGAGCGATGGTTTCAACGGCACAATGGTCGACGTATTGGACGACGCCTGGTTGAGCTGACCTTCGGTCACGTCGCCAGGGGGAGCACTGTCCAGTGCCAGTTGACGCTCGTGAAGGAGGGTCTGCTCGGCCTGGTAGAACTTGCGCGTGCGGAGGTAGTCGCAGACGAGCTCGAAGACTTCCGTCTCGCCCAGGGACTGCTGCAGCGCTTGACTCATCCCGTGCACCTTTCCAACTGATCACAGGCCATGTGGATGTGTCGGAGGGGTGACATGCTGATATACCGAAGGGTGTAATTTAAACTCATCATTGAAATATGTATACAACATCCAAGAGAACCATTGATATTTAATACCGAGATTGGTCGTCCCGCTTGGATTAATAAATAGTGACTAAAATCCAATCACGTTTTGTTGCTGCTTCTCCGCACCACAAGAATTCCTACCACGTCCGATGCATAATTGGTCTCAAAAAGTGAATTGTAAAGCCTCTAGGTTTCTCCTGCCGAGGAAGTGCACGATCGGCGCGACAAGATCGCGACAAAGCCACATGGCAACGCATATGGATGAGCCCCCAGAGCACTTGAAGTCTTGACCCGCGCCAGTCGGCGCTCTCCACTTCATACGCATGCCGTTGCGCCAAGGCATCGATCGATGCGCGCTCCACCTCATAGATCGATGTCCATCGCCCAATACCCCGTTGTTGAGCAGGCACGTCCATTGGACCTAGACCGCCTGACAACGTACGTATACGTGGGGGCTCCGAACTCCTTCACTTTCCTGTAGCTCGGAAACGTGAAAACACTTCTCCGGTTTACACAACGAGCTTGTCGCGCCTTGAGCTTCCAAGAGCCATGGTTGCCACCGATGCTTTGTGATCTTGGCAACACGTGCATTCGTGCGTGTTGTTTAACCGTTGTGGTGTGGTGGTGGTGGCGGCATCAGTCCCCACGTATTGTCGGCCACGGCGAGCAACGTTTGTAGCCGACTCTCAACGTTGGGTGGCCATGGGTTCGTTGGCGCTTCAGGTGATGCACAACAATGTGGCATCGTCGGCTCGCCCTACGTGTTCTACGTCTTAGACAGCCACATGTGTACAAGCGGTGCTTACCGACTGCAGCACGAGCACATGGAGTCGATCCCACTCGAGAACCAGCCAGGACATCTTCGTTGTCGCACTTCTTGCAGCCTTGTGTATCCTGCTTCCATCGATCCTATTGTGCACTCGCAAAGTCAGTCGCACATCAAAAGCTGGTCTTGTCTGAACCTTGTCGAGGAGGCTAGCACGGCCTCGACTGTCGAAGTCGTCCATTCGTCTGGCGCAGTGGCGTGTTCGCCGTCGACAGTGGGGCAGCTCACGAGCACACGTCGTTCGTTTGTTCGGGTGTAGTCTACGAGTGCCTCGACGGCTGCCCCAGCAATATCATGACTTGGTAACTCGTGAAGGGCAGACGACGAGCCCTGCCTGGTTGGTTTTGGTTCCCACCTGAGCCAGAGGGCGGCATGCCGAGCTGCGGCTGCACTTGGTGGTGCCGCGAACTATTCGTTCTCCACAGGGCATGCCACCTTCGCCTCCACCTCGACGACACAGACGCAATTGTGAAATGCCTTGTGCTGGAATGGCTTGGAATTGTTGCGCTGGCCGAAAGCTCTGGTGCTCGAACGTCGTCGTGGAAGCTCTACTCGCGACAAAAGTTTCAAGGTCGAATGGCGACGGTGTTATTGTAGCTACCTTGGGCGGCGTGCAGTACACAACAACTTGAAGTGCATTCACCTACAAAGGTTCATTATGATGGTCGTGGGCCGGCTCGGTCGGGAGAGCCAACTCGGACCCCTGCGAAATGGTTTTCGCAACCTACATTGGCAACCAACGCCTTTGCCATGCACAGTATGGACTCGTATAGGATTTGGCAGAGAATGCCATGAAGGCGCTTGCTTTGACTCTAACACGATCAACCAGAACTCGTCACGCTCGGAAAGCATGCTGATATCGCCCTCGCACCACACGGGACTCGGTAGCTGGTGCGTCGAAGCTATCCAGGCCTTGGGCAAGTCGGTTGGTCATGCGCCTAGACGTATCGACGTCGCTCCCGACAAGCTCTTTACTGTATTGAACGACGCAAGAGAGATACCACAACTGATCTTCTGGAAGGCCACGGGTTGCTGCAAAGACCACAACGAGCCATTGCTTGGTTGGAGCGACCTCGAACACGAGGCGCTCAATGTGGGTTTCATATTGCCGCAGACCCGCCGCCGCAGCGTCCGTGGTCACCGATGCTGCGTGGAGAGTTCGTGACATGGTGCATGACCTCCAGGTGGATTGACATACCCGCGTAGTTGTAGATGGCAAAGAGAAGCGCCGCCAAGTTCATGTGGGTCTTGTGCGGGTGGTGTTTGGCAAACGATGCAGACAGCGCTTTGCCGTACACCAGACCCCCGCCTCGTAAATCGACGACGATCACGCCATTCATGACGCGGTCTCCGCCTTTACAACCGACGTAACGGCGTCAGTTACACGGGTGCTCTTGCCTGAAAGGTCGCGCAACTGCATTGGGAATCAAACGTTTTGCCGCCATCGCACATGCCAATTGGATCGTGGAGATCTCCTGCTCTTTTCACATCGATCCGTGGACACGAAGCACATTCACCAGCTTCAACGATGTGGAAAAACGTGCACAGTCTTGAATGGCACACGCAGATGCGACGCAAATCACTTCAAACAGACGGATGCAGCGCCATGGATGGGTGTTGCTGCTGAAGAGATCACCGACTTTTTCGACGGCCTCCGTGGGTGGTGGTGGTTGGTTGAATCCCGATTCGCATGCGACGGACCCTCGCAATCATAAAGCTGGTTCACACCGGCCACGTCAATTTGTTCCATCCAATCCTTCCATGACATACGGCATGTCATATCTGCAACTTTGTCTTCTTTACCCTCACGTTCTCCTTTAGTGCCTGCCACGCACGCGCCGAGCTGTCTTCTCTGGGGAAAATGAAATGCAAAGTCTTCTAAACACGGGTGCTCGTTCAGTCGCGACGAATGTCAACTCTTCAGGCGCTCAACGCAACATGGAAGACGAGGATTATCGTGTCGCTGATGCTTTATTTACAGAATCCGCCACCAACCGTGGCAACGAAGTGTGAATCCTATAATCGATCATGTCTTCAACTGCTTGGTTGCTGCGGACGGCTTGGGGGGCTTCTTCTTAACATGGACGGTGACAGGCGGATAGTTTGGCGTTTTATCTGTCGGCTCATTTGCCTCTCCGTACTTTTGTCGCTGGCTCATGGCACCGACTTTGGTCCGAAATGACTCGGCAAACGAATATCTCGGAGGTCCTTGTATGGATCCTGTTGATATCAAGTAAGACTGTTTACAAAATCAAAGGGTTGACGAACGTACGAGTGCTTTTTTCCGACAAAACTTCTTTAACCTCTACAGTGAACATCACGAAACAAGGTGATCCTTGATTAACCGTGACAAGATGGAAGAGATCGTTCGGCGCCATGAACAATAGAAACGTACGCCGAAGCACCGCATGGTTTGCATTGAAGCCTTGCAAAATGTCTTCGATGCACTTAAATTTGCCGTCGGTTCGCTGATTCCTCTCTCGCTGGTCGGCGATTTTCGTCCAAAACTTTTCCCCCAGGATCTTTTCCACCATGTCATGTTGTATCTACGATGAATAATGTCGTTCAACACAAGCGTTCCAATGCTCGCGTCAAGAAAGGAAAATGGTTGTTCGTGTTGGAGGTTGGAGAACATGTCCCAAGCCTCCACGTATGGGTTTCGCACAATAAAACACGAACCTGAAAGGCTGGAAACATCATCAGTGGGTGGTCATGGGCGAAGAGTACAAATTTTTCAATGGGGATACAACCTACATCAGTCCAACGAATGATTCATCAAAGCTAGTGTGCAAACCAGCCGATAATGACAAGGTACCGTCGCTGGAGGCAGCAATGGCGGACAATTTGTTCATGATGTGTTCGGCATTCTTGTTGGCGTGCCACTTGCCTCCCCACATTTCCTGGACAAAGTGCTCGGCTTCGTTCAAATCTAGAGTCACGGGGTGAGAAGCCAGAGCTGGAAGAGGGAAGTGGATGCACCAATTTCACCGCTGGCATCGGAATCATAGAGGCTGAAGGAGTATCGAACGAGGCTTTCTTGTGTGAACGAGCCTAGTGGACTCCAAGTATCGGCGATCAACCAAGACAACGAAATCGTACAAAAGTTCCATAATGAGAGCACGAATTCTTCAAAATCCTAGAGATAACAACAAATAAGCTCATCTACGTACGCTAGGCCAGAACATTAATACTTACGACTTGACCGCTGCCATCTTTGTCCATGAGCTAAAGGCGCAAAATGTGGCGTGAAATTGAACGAAGTAGAAATGTTCAGTACTTTGAACGTCTTCTTTGAAAACTCAGTCTTTGTGAGTTCTATCAAGTGACTGATCAACCTGCAGATTCGGTGCACACTGGACGCTCCACTTTACCAAAGTAGTCGAGGAATTCAAAGATATTGATGGCCCCTGTCTTCTCTGTTGATGAAAAGAGCAAAAGGAGATGAAAAACTGTCGATCTGGATGCCGGCATCACCTCTGTTGACAGCATTGAAGAGGTGATAGATGTGATTCATGTCGTGCACTGTGAATCCCAACGACTCGAACAGTTCCTGCATATCGTCGCCAACGGGGTATTCGGGTGTGCCATGGATAACTTTGCTCCACCGCTTCCCCATCCCTCGTACTTGGCGAGACGGTCAACGAGCAGTGTGATCTATTAACAGATCATGTCACAACTATGCGTTACAGGCACGTCATATGTACTTCAAGAGTTTTAGACAGGAGGATGACAGCTCGTCTTGTGTACTTTATTCCTCCTGCGCTTTCGCATCGCGCACCTTGAATCTGTTGTAGCACATTCGCTGTCGCCCACGACAGTGACTTTATCGTTAAATTCAACCGTCCCACAACGACACCTACCTCGGCATTGATAGCCGTGACCACGCATTCAATTCAGGGCACCAAGGCGCCTCGCACCATGAGAATGTAGCGAGCACGCGATGCATGCTTCAGCGACGTGGCGGCAGTCGACTTCCTAATCTTCCTCACGTCAAATTTCCGCCGACTCATTCGAAGTTGCGCACACTATTTTTCACATGAAGTTAGTATACCATACTCAAACCTTGTCTTTCATAAATACGGATAATTTGATTTTATCCGGATGTCATTACCTGCATGTCCATGTCTCGCTGAGTTTGAAGAATGCTGCTCCAACGAGCATGGCGGCGATCGTCCGTGCTGTCTAAAGCAGAGAGCTTGCGAGCCCACTACTCGTCACACAACAGGATGCGTTTGCGCGATGCGCTGCGAGGTCATACTGCTGCTGCCCCATTGCACGAGTTTACCAACTCAATCGAACCAGCGCCAACTTGTGTCCTCCATCCCATAGCACTGAACAACGTCGCAGCGGCAACCGCGTTGCTCGTGCAAGAACACAACAACTCTTCAGCGCGTGACACAAGAAACAATATTGGATTGGCTCTGCGACAGGCGCTCGATACCGACACATCGTTGCTTCCTTCATTGATGTTCCAGGCGGTGTCGGTTCATGCAACGCTGCCGTCTGACGTATTCGAGGCCCTCGTTGCACACTGCCGCGACCACTCGCTGTCAAAACTGGCCACTTCGCTCGCCCATGCTATCCACAACGACTTGGCCCCACTGCCTTCATCACCTCACGACTTTATCACCATGCTCGTGGACTGTGGTGCCAATCGCGCCGCCGTAACAGTGTATGAGAAACTGCAGGAAAGCCACGTCGTGCATTTGCTCCCAACGCAGGCGATTTCCATGCTATCGTGTCTACAGTGTGTCTACGATGGAGGTAAATGTTCATGTTTCGTTTCATTGCTGAAAGCAGCATTGTCGACCAGATCTTGGAATTCCATGTGTCGTGAACCAATGCGATATCCATTTTGTAGTCACACCTCGAACGAAGCTCGAGGACATCCAAACGGACGCCGCATCGATCGTTCGATACTTTCACTACGGTCATAAGAACATGGCGAAGGAGGTTCTCGACCTCCTCAAACGTCACGACCATGTCACTCCACCGGCATCGCTTGTCCACCAACTGGCTGTCGACCTGAAAACAGTGGGGGCGGACATCACGCCGTTACTCGAGTATGCTGTTTTCGATCGACAATTGGTACTCGAGCCACACGTGTACCTGGTAGACTCGTCGAATCTCCTATGCAGCGGTGTCATCACTGTGCTCTAGACGTGGCTCCAAACCGCGCCGATGGATGCGGCCGCGCCAATGCTGTTGAAGGCCCTCCCTTCTATCTTGCTCAACTGCATCTACGGCGACGAGTCCAATGAGATAGTCCGCGCGGCCACTCGACAGTGCTTCCGCCAAACAAGACTCTCCCTGGCGATGGAATTCTTCAAAGCCGCGTCGCAAATTGCCGCCCCGCCGCTCGACAAGGACGATTCGGAACGATTGCAACCACAACAAGTTGAAGTCATTTGTCAAGCGGATGTCGGGTTGCAATGGGTCATCACTGCATTACAATCCTTTCGTGCCGAGGAAGGCGCTTCGGCTCGTGTGGAAGCGCTGCCCTCGCATTCCGGCAAAGAGCTGGCCATTGTCTCGTTGTACTTGCATCCTCGTGTCTCTCCCGAGGTAGCGCTGCCACCCACCACTCGTACGTCGTACCCATCTCCATGGTATGCGCGTAGGTCGCCGCGGAAATCGCTCGATTAGCTCCCGTACGCTTCACCAAGAATTCACCGCTTGGCGATCTGCTGGTCAAGTCTGGGCTGTATCGGAAGCTCACTCGTGCCTTGTGTTTTGACGGGCAAGTTGAGCTCGCGACGTCCCTGTTTGCATGGCTCCAAGATATTCAAAATGCAGTTGTGCCCTTGGACATCTGGACGCTGTTCTTTGGGAAAGCCCGACGCCTCATCACTGACATTTCAGACGAGACGAACCACCGACAACGTCTTCAATCTGCGCTCCATCAGTTCATCAACCAATTGGCACGCCATGCCTATGCGGGTGAAGACGTGGATGAAGCTGTCGTCGCCGCGATGAAGGCAGCGTTGCATGTGGGGGATGTCGCCAGCGCCGTACAGCTGCAGAACACGTCATCATGGGTTCCCAAAGACGGCACGCAGGACGCTTTGGCCACAGTCTTGGCAGGTATCGTCTAGACCGCCCCTTCGCTCGACTGGAGGACATTGGCTTAATGCCATTTTTGAAGCACAATACGGTGGCTTGAATTTCGTTTGATGTTGTAGCGGTGCGCGTGATCGCCGATCCATTGATTCAGCGCAGCGTGTCGATATATTTCCTGGCGAGGAAAGCCCCGGGAGAGGACACTGACACATGGCCATCGACCTCGAGCATCTTTGACGTTCTTGTCAAGAATGGCATCCACATGGGACTGGGAACGTACCGCAAGATGCTGCTCCAGGTTATCCATGACCTGGACATGGTGACTGCCCACGCAATGCTGCAGCACGCCCAGAACCACTCGATTGAGGTGTCACCCGACGTGTTCACCGTAAGTCAAACTCGAACGTGATATGTCGGTGTTGAAGACTCAGTCGTTGGGTTAGGTATGCTTTGCACAACATGCGCACAGCAAGAGGGACCCGGCTGCCTTCGTGTCGCTCCTGAACAGCATGAGCACGCTGGGTCTGTTGCAAGACAATGGAGTTGTCTATCAGGTACGCTTTCCCGATGGCCGTACGAGACAAACGCGTGTGACTTGTGGTCGTCCAGGCGGCAATTCGGGCGTGCATTGCAGCCAAGAAATCGAAACTCATGTGGGGTTGTGTCAATCGCGCCGAGTCGCGTGGAGTTATGCTCGATCGAGAGATGCTGGGCGAACTGGAAGCACTCCTGTAATGGATCGCCCTGTACGAACCTAGGGCGTTGGGTGGGTGCACTGAGGGCAAGCATCAGGAGATGGCGCGCCCATGTAGGTGCAGTTGTGGAGCTCGAGACATCCCTCCTCTGTAATCGACAAACTACCAATATAGAATGCGTGCACGCTGCGTGTTAAACACAAGAATGAGGAAGGAAGCGCATGTTTTGCAGTCGTGGGGCTCGCCTTGGATGCGCCAAGGATACCACTTGGCATCAGCACCAGCACACCATTGTCGGACAATCGATACACGCAAAACGACCGTGCATCGACATCTCGAAGAGAACTCGTACGATCTTGCTTCTCTAACGAGTGGCGCTCATCCATCTATTGTCCCTGTCGTCGCTTGCTCCCTCGAGCGAGTGGGTCGTCGACTCGGCCACGCTGCTGCGCTCTTCACCTGGGAGAACATGACAACATGAACTTCAACTCACATTAATTTGTGTTGCTTGCAGAATAACACTATTTCCAAGTAATGTTGGAAAGAACACGACACCCAGATCCAACTGCGGGAAGATGGCAAAGCCCTCCGCCGACTGCCTCGATGATGGACAGAACAGCTCTCTGGAGCCGTTGCTGTCACCGCACCGTGAAATCAATGATAAGGTGGATGCAGCCGGGAATTCTCCGCGTCGACTACGACGCTGGACGTGGAAACACACTGCAGTGTTGGGTATCGGAGGGATTGCAACTGCCCTTGTCGTGTTGGCCTTCAGTATTCGACCTCTCGCCCTGCGTGCCATCGACACCACAAAAATGGATATTCAACGCATGCAGCTGCAGTTCCCACGCAATGACTCAGTCCAGCTGACGACACAACTCGCGGTAACGACTACTCCCCTTGAGGGCACACCATATTCAGCTTGAAATATTGCATGATAGATCACATCCGACAGTCCGTTTGGAGTCACTATGCACCCCGCTCAATTGGCAATTCAGTTCGAAAACGCCACGGTGGGCATCTTTTACACGCCTGCGATGGACATTTCCAAAGGCACCAACGTGCATACGATCGCCAACGCAACATTGACGGTGCGATGGAGCACTCTTGTCTCTATGTTACGAGCGTCCATGCGTCTAGGTCACCAATTTCCAAGCGTGGACGAAATTTGCCGGCGCCATGGTCCACTCGACAAACATGACTTGGACATTGTCTGGCGAAATCGACATTAGCCTGCACCTGTTGTCGATCCCAATCTCCAACTTGCCATTCACCAAAACGATGGGTCTCGGTGGAATGGATGGTTTGCGCTCGCTTACTGTGTCCAAGGTGCTGTCGGCGCCCATGAGGTCACTCTGAACTCGTCGCTTCGTTCCAGATGGACCTCTCCAAGTCCACAGAGACACAGGTCCTGGCAGCCATCGACACGTGCTTGCACAACCCGTCTGCTGTAGCACTGACCCCCGTCGGATCGCTTTGCTTCGATGTGTTTTACCGTCACCCGATCACAAACGTCTCGACCTTTGTGGGCATCTTGACGTCGATCAATTCGTCGCTGCCGGTCTCGAGCACCGACGCATCCGATGCCAAATGCACAGCGTATGGCGCCACAGGCATGAACAGCATGACGTTGAGTGGCCATATTGTGTCGAGTGACCCAGAAGCGACCAGCGCCCTGATTTCCCAGTACGTAAGATCACCGCGCTCATCCCTCAAGGTGTCCCGTTGTGCAGATACTTGAGTGGGAACGCAACCCACGTGCAAGTTGGTGGCTGCTCGCCGTCTGCGTCGTCGATATCGCTCTACAATGCAGCGCTCCGATCACTGCGCTTGAATTCCACGGTAGCGGGTTGGCACTTCAATTCGGTCATGCTGACCTCCCGCGCCTTGGATGGATTCGTAGCTGCCGCCAAACCCCCTACCTTTGATTCAAGACTTGGCATTTGCATCGATGGACGTCGTGCCTCAAACCGGTGCGTCCATGCTGCTTGAGTTGCGCGAAGAGGCGACGTATTGGCTCATGGCACGTCGGTGAAAATGTTAGATACAATCGTGGGCATGCACACCGTGGTCAAGGCGACAACGCACAGTCCACTAGGAAACCATTCGCCGCTCACGCTCTCGTCGATGACGATGGCGGTCGAGCTGCTGAGCGGTGACGAGGTGTGTGCAGGATTCCCTGTTTACACGATGGAGAATGTACGAAACAATCGGATGGACAGGAGAGGTTGGGGACGTTTGTGACGCATCGAGTCGACGTGACAGGCAACGTGAGTGGCACGACCAACCTGACGTTGGCATGCAATGCGTCGTTGCACCTGTTCGAGAACGGCATGCCGTTTGGGCGGTTTGTGCGCTCGCTCGTCCAGCTTCGCCAGGTACAACGTGGAGCTGTGAAACCCGTGATAACGGCGCGTAGACACCAATTTGGGTGCGCGGGTCGTTCAACGTTATCGCAACGGGGGCGTTGGGTACGAGCTGCCTCGTGTGTCCAGGTTGCAGAAAGTGTACTAGGCACGCTGAGGTTGACGAATGTGCCGGTGCACGTGCTGAGCTTGGTGGGCGGCATGGCTGGCTTGTCCAACGTGTCGATTGTCAACTTTTCATTGCCGGGGCCGCATTCGTCCGAGGGCCAGCAAGTGACTGCCGTCTCCGACGTACGTTGCTGTTCATGGCGTGAACCCAACGCGTTCACGTTATGCGATCGCAGATTTGGAACCCGTCTGCGATTGCGATGGACGTGGGCGACGTGCAACTTCGGCTTGCCGTCTCCACCAAGAGTGTGCTTGGTTTTGTCGCCACACACATGACGCTGGAGCCACAGTCGACCTCGCGAGTCCACCTCGACGGTAGAGGCCTCCCCCACTCGTATCATGTCTTGTGTATGACTGCGCGCTGTCTGAACCACTTCAGGGCACTTGAACCCGGCCGTTGATGACCACGGAGACCTTCACCCCGATGTGAATGCGTTCTTTTCCCGGTATATTTCGAATGAACCGTCGCTGCTCGAAATTGCCATTACGAGCATCAACACGACGATTCCGTGGGTCCAACAAAGCCTGGCGCGCACCCAAGTGCAAACGGTGTTTCCCGGAGTTGCTGTCGACTTGATTTCCCACCTGGCCATGCCTGAGATGCACATTCATTTCAACGCCACAGCCATGATCATGCACGCGCGGATGCAGGCACGGGTGGCGTTGCCGTCAGCGCTCGCACATCTCCCCATCAACATCACGCACTTGGAGCTGTCGAGTCAGTTGGTCAGCAACCACAACGTGTTGAGCCACGTGGTGATTCCGTTCCAAGCGGTCGAGTACTCGCCGACGGGCTTTGGCACGGGGTCTGTCGCGTTCGAATCGGACATTTCGCTGCATGCCATCGACGTGTACGACATCGCTTTCACGTGTGGATACGTCTTGCAGTTTGGGCATGGCTTGCCGATGGTAACGCCGTGATGCGATGGTAGGGCGGCGATGGCGCAGTTTGTGAGCCGCCTCATGTTTGCCTCGGGGACTGTGCCGTTAACAATTGAAAGCAGCCGTGGACCACCTGCAAATGACGCTCAGCTGGACAAGGTAGGGACCCGATGGACCCAGCCATGGATGGCATGTGTGCTCGATTGAAGCCACGTTTGACATGATGTGATCAACGGCTTTGTAGATGCGCCACGCAATGGAACGAGCGGACGGCGTGTCACCGGTCGTGAAAACTCCCATGGGACGTTTGGCCTTGTCCAACTTGCCTGTGAATGCGACGCTCATGTTGGTGGGCATGGACGGCTTGCAACTCGACGGGGTGAATGTCACGTCTGTGGATATTGTGTCTGGTACCTTCGACCCTTCCATCTCGGTGGCACGCGTCGATGGTAATAATCTGGTCCAGGAACAAGCGACTCGCTGGTGCTGTCGATGGCTCTCACCTTGTGGAATCCATCTCAAGTGACCGCCATCTTGGACTCGTTATCGGTGCAAGTGTGGTTGAACGAATCGCTTCTCGGTGAGGCAGCACTGGCAAACGTGTCGCTGGCATGCTGCCACGTCATGAGCGCACTGACTGGGTTGTTTTCGTTCCATCCGACCAACATGACGGCTGGACGGGCGTTTTTGTCGCGCTTTGTGTCAGGCAAGGCGGCCCAGGAGGTACGATGCTGCCCAATCTTGGTGGCCGAGCCATGGCAAGGCGAAGCTTCACTTTGTTGAACGTCGTGGTGCTCACGGGAGGCCGCGGGGTCGGGGGCTATTTCTAGGTGCATATCCGGGGCTCGAACGAGAGCAATCCGAACCCATTTCTCCGAGTGGCACTCCCAAAGCTCCAGCTCACGTCTGCAGTCCCGTCGTTGTCGCAGTTCTTCCCGCACATGCCAACCCTCGTGTCGCTCTCCAAGATGTACAAGCCGTCGATTTGGGACCTGTTCACGGTCGCGACCGCATTGAAAGTGCGCAACCCCTTTGGCCACGCCATCAATGTGACGGCGACGAATCTGCAGCTCTTTCCGTGTGCTACCCAGCACAAGGACGCGTCTGGTAGATCTCGTGGACTTCCGCTTGCTTCAATATCTGCACGTTGTAGGGCGGCTGATCTGCTCCAAGTACTACGACGTCCCGCTTGCTCGATTCAACCCGAAAGAATTTATCGCGATGGTGATTCCAGCCGCCACGACTCCCGAAGGATGCTTTACCTGCTGCCAAGGAGCAAAATGCTGGGAGGCGATGCCGCTGGTACAAAGTCAGTGGAATGACTGCTCGGAGTTGATAGAACTCGGGGATGTGTAGTGCCCTGGTGCGACGGTCGGATCGTGCATGAAAGCCAAGGTCGACATGTCCCTGTGGAGTTTCGAGATGATCAAGACGTTGTATGCTACCATGACGACGGGTCTCTTGATGCATGTAGAAGGCACCCTCACTGCGATGATTGACGCATACCCGATGGAACTTGACTACGTCCAGGATGAATTGCTCGTGGTTATGGCATAAAGACGACTTTTTGTTGTATGGAACGTGTTTGTACATGACGTGGATTCGCTTACGAGCTGCCTCGGACAGTGTCCGCTTGAGGCTGCTGCTTGACTGGAGTCGTCGCAGGTGTGGATGTAGCAGACGACGAAGCGTCGACCTTCGAGTCCACGTCCACCGACTTGCCGTCGTCGCCCGCTTTTGCGGACGTGGTCTCAAGCTTAACGCTGTCAATAAGGTCAAAGTACTACAAGGTCATGGCAGGGATGTGAAGTGGAGCAGCTCGAGTTGTACCTGTGCGGCATGTTTCAGCTTGGCGAGATCCGCATCCTGCGTGGCCTTCTGCTTCTGCAGCTTCCGGCGCTTGTATGGGCTGAACATGAGGTCTTCCAGGGGAGTCTGGAGCTCGTCTTCAGTGGAGACAGTGCTTCGTCGCCGCCGGTGCTGTGCTCCTTTGAACGTGGCGACCATCGTGCTCCTCATTCGCCGCCCAAAGTGCAATTTGAATCCCCGCGAGTCCCGCCAGACGGATAAACAAACGCTTTCCGGATGGGTTTGAATCATCCGGATAGTGCCCCTTCCAATATCCGGACTCGATGTCCTCTATGACTTGATGACGTCTTGCGGCACGACCATGAGGCAGCCACATTGTCCTGCAAAGGTAAAGGGGACATCGAGGCCATTGGTCGGGCCGTGATGTTGTGTGCGTTCATGCGTTGGTGGCTGGTCACGTAGTCGAAGCAGCACTTCGATCTGTGCTCGACCTGCACAATTTTGCGGTCAATGAACGTGCTGGGAACGATCTTGTGCCCCTTCCAGTGCCGTTCCAGAGTCCCCACGACATAAGGAGATGGACGGCTCATCGTTCGTACCAATCTCATCGGCGCGGTGTCTAGTGTCGCGTGCCGCCGCAAGGAGTGTCGTGCGGTTTCAGGGCGTGTTAGGGGCTTGGTTTACTCCCGCAGACGGTGGCATCGTCAGCCGTTGCGAACGCTCCTTGGCTTTACCAGCTGTGCTTCATCCTGCGTGTTCCTCCGCACCAGGCCTCACCGATTTGGCGCTGGTGTATAGGATGCATGGCGCCAAGTCGTGATAACTCATCCCTCTGGCGCAGGCGAACTCTGGGTGGAAACTGGATGTTACGGCAACATGCCATTAACGATATAATCACGCTTTAATATTTACCCACACGTTAAACCCGTCTGTTGTTCGATGGCATGTTTCATAGCGGTTTTCGAATGTGTCGACATTTCGCCAATTGTGGATGGCTAATCGCTGAAAGGCAGTGCCTCACCAACCAACCCGTGAAGCAAGTCAGTGGATCTCCCTCCACGCCTGCGCGTTTTCTGGAGTATACGTTGCTGTGGAGAACTGGTCGATTCTTGGTTAAACGTAGTTGAACATACTTTACACGAGAGGAGATGAATAAAACGCCAGTGCATGGCGGTAAAACTGCTACAAAAAGTAGCCTGCCCCGGCAGTGGTAATGGTCGAGACGGCGCGGGTGTCCGCCATGCGGCACACACTTTGGGTTTCTCGCTATGGTGGCGAGCGAAATCAACTCGTCGACGACGCCCGCATACGACGGCCATGAGACTGCGCGGTCCTCGTCGATCGTCCTGCATACAGAACTCCCAGATGCCGATGACAAGCGCGACAGCACCCCGTTCTTATTCAGCCAGCTCGTATCGAAGAAGCGATGGCTCATGGTTGCTGCTGGATTGGTTTTCGTTGGCGCCACGATCGCAGTCTTGGCGTCGTCCACGTCCTCCGGCGACGAAGCTAGCCAGGCGTCTGGCGTACGCAAAGAGGTACACGTGCTCATTTCCACGTGTCGATCGTGCTCTCAAGTTTGCCTAGGACGCTGCAACTCCTGCTCCTGCAGCCGCCTCCAACGACGAAACTTCTGTCTCGTCGAATGGCCTCGAATCCTCCGTGCTGTCAGGTACCAACTACCTCTGCCCAACGTAACTCGCGCCATCCCTTCGTCACGAGAGGTCTCTCGTAGATGTCGCAACACTAACTCCCGAATTCACGCCGGTCAATACAACCAACTCGACGTCCGACGCGACGGTGGGCACCCCCGACCCGACCACGTCAGCACCGACGACTTCGTCGACTCCTGAAACCACCTTGGCGTTGGAATCGATTGCTTCCGCCCCCGCCGCTGCTTCGACAACTGCACCTCCCACTGCCCCGCCGACAGCGCCTCCGACGTCGCCGCCCTCCACGCCCCCTCCTGCGCCTCGATATGCCTACAAAGACACCAAATTCGACTGGCTCAACATCAACGAGTGGCAGGGAGACAACAACTGGTCCCCGCAATTCGCAGCGGGTGGGTTCAAAGGCGACAAGATCGAAGTGTCGACGTTTGGCAAGCCTTTCCACCAGTCGCCCGTCTTGCGCACGAAGCGCGGCTGGTCTGGCGAGAAGATCTGGTTTATCGAGTGGGTGACGTACCCCGGCTCGGACACAAACATTTGGGCCCTCCCGACGTCGCTGACGAGTCAGTTTGGCGACCCGCGATGGCCCAACTGCGGCGAGTACGATATCTACGAGATGTTCAATGGCGACGCCGCGATCGGTCACTCGGGGACGAAGAACCACTTTTACGGCGGCGGGCTCGACTCGTTTGGCCAGAGCACCATGCACATGGCATCACCGACATGCTTTGCGCCGTTCTTTGTGCGCCAACCGTCCGTCGGGTCGCAAGCCGCGCAGTGGCCGGTGCGCTTCCACAGCAAGATCTCGATGGCGGTCGTGTTTGGGCGCGACAACAACGGACTCTTCATCCAGCAGATCCTGGACCCGACCGTTGTGGACGGCGCCGACGGCACGGCCGAGATTCGTGGCGGCACCGCCGCCGAAAAGATTTACAACAACGCCAACACGTACTGGGGCGTGAAACCCGAAGGCGGATGCGCCGCGGGCCACGACCCGAACGGCGGGTACCCGTTCTTCGGCGAGTTCCGCCTTGTCTTTCAAGAGCAGTTCAATGGCAAGTTTGACATCACCAACATCCGTGTCCTCTCCAAGTAGTTAATGTAATACAGTGATGTTTGTGGGGGTGCGGGCGTGACGAGCGACTGCTATGGTCGGTCGCGTCCGAATGAATCACGTCTGAGGGACGCACAGCTGGCATCAATGGTTTCTCATGCATGCGATTCTCGGCGACACGGTGTGTTGCCGAGATCTGTCCATTCTTTCTCGACGGGCATGTCGAGAACAGCCCTGAATGCCGTGCTTCGTCGCGGTGGCGACATGGAAGTGAGGTTGGCGGGCAACTCACTGCACACGACCAGCAAACGTGAGATCGTGGCGGTTCTGGCTGTCTTGTGGCTGTCATGAAGCTAGCCCTACCTGGTGACAGTTTGGTCGGCAGATTTACCCTTCGACTGACAACATGCGCCACGCTGGCGGCGACACAAGCCCCACCTTGAATACACTCGGGACAGCATACGTCGCGACAGCGCGTTGTCCAGACCAACAAGCCATTCCTTGAAACGGGGCCGACGTCATGACGGCGTGGACGACGTTCATTTGAGTTCCTCCGTCGAAGTCGTAGGACTGCGGCAGCCCCTCGACTGCCGATGGGTGTTTCGCTAACTTCCTCGCCACTTCCCCGTGGCGCCTGTAACATGTGCCTCCTTTTGCGACAAGTACTTTGGCCGGAGTGCGGCAAGCAGGACCCTCCATGCAAGTGTATGCTGCGTGGACGTGCGCGGCGGATGCGGTGGAATTGGATGCTCCGCAGAAAATTGCAGCCAAAGACGAGTCCTCCTGTGGCCAGCTTTACACTGCTGTCGTCGTTTTGAAGAAGCGCAAAGAAGGGTCCAGGCGGCGTTTGCCATCCAGTTTGACCTTGCCTAGCACAGGATGGGCTTGATTGTGTGCATTTTGTCTGATGGACATTTGAATAGTGTGACATAAAGATCCATCCACCACACCACTCGAATTCACGTGCACTCGAGATCAATCTGCATTCCAGCACGTTACTTGGTGGGGGACGAATGAGCGAGAACACAGCGCCTCTAGATGCGCAGCCGATAAGTCTCCCCGTTTGAGTTCTGAAGCTCGCCCTTGTCGTGGATGGACCGACGGACCGCGTCGTTGACGCGTGTCCTTCGTGTTTGGAGAATTTTGCACAACGGAGGACGATTTACTTGAAAATTGAACAAATTTTACACAATTTTAGTGCGTTTGATGGGGCCTGACATTGTGGCGTTGGTGCGGCAGAGGAAGGGCCGTCATGCCGGTCGCAGCCATCATCTTCGACCTCGGTATCAACGATACACATCTCAACTGCTCATGGACAGTCCCGTGTACAAGCAATTCACATGGGTGTGAGTAGATGGGACCCTCATCGACACGGAAATGCTCAGTGTGGAGACACTGACGGAAATTGCCGGCCCATCCTATTCGCTCGACTTGCAAAAGCGAATCCTTGGCATGCCTAGCCACGAGTGGACTCGAATCGTGATCGACGAGTTGAACTTGACCATGTCACCGGACGATCTAGCGCATGCATGGCACACGATCTTGGGCACAAAGGTCACATCCAGCGTTTTGCTGCCAGGTGAGTTGCTCGATCCTGTTATTTCAACCTGCAGCTGGATTTACCGTTCAGGGGCATTGGACCTCGTCCAGAGCCTCAAGAATCAACCTAACGTCAAGGTCGCGCTCGCCACATCATCGACGTCCAAGGCCGTCGCGATCAAGCGTTCAGTCCACCCGGCACTGTTTGAAGCATTTGAGGTACGAACGATGTAGAAGTGGTTCTGAAATACGCTGCTGCCATAGGTGATCGTTTGCGGCGATGACCCCGCCGTCGTTCATGGAAAGCCGAGCCCAGACATCTTTCTCGCGGCGGCAACGCGCCTTGGCATCGCAGACACGACGACGTGTGTCGTGGTGGAAGATTCCCCGAACGGCGTCAAGGCTGGACGAGCTGCAGGCATGCAAGTAGTGGCAGTCCCGGATGGCCGCTTCTACGACGAAGTCGGCATTGCCGCGCGATTCACGGACGCCGACATCGTGTTGAGGTCGCTCGAGCACTGGCACACGGCAGTTTTTCAGTAATACGTCGCGGTGCATACAAATCAGGAACGAATTTGCACCCGTGACATCGATAGACCAATGTAGCGCTTCAATACACAAGATGGCGACGCCGTTGTTCGACATGCGGCTTCAGCAGTGTCAGGAACAGCACCGGAAAAGGTGTCAGTGAATGGATAGCTAGTCTCTCGAACGTCTATACGACGACCGCTCATGATGGCGCGAGGCAGAGTGTGCTGCCCGGTTTGCCTCGATAGCCCCGTCGATGACAGAGGCAAACAAGTTGATGGCTTCAACGAAGGTCCCAAGTCGTTGGCAGTCAACACGTGCATGTATCAAGCCTTTGTCCTCCCCCTGCGATCCAAGTACTCGAGCTCATTGCACCCATCTCTGTAGCCATTGCGAGCTCCTCCATGGACCACTCGTGGTGTGTCCATCGAGTCGTCGCGACCGCCGAGATGCTTGATGAAATCCACTTGCTGGGATGATGATTAAAACGTCGTCGCCAGCCAATCAAAACGCACAAGCTTGGATCTATAGTGAAACCAAGTCAAAGTGATTTTCAATGAAGATTTGCAGTTTTTTGATTCCCGCGACAACTCAAAGGGAAACCGACATGGCCACGGGCGACGGCGGCGATGCCAAGGGGCCGTCGCGCGTGATGTCGTACCACGACCGCCTTGTGCATTTCTACACGGAGCACAATCCATCCATGATACCGTCCATTGAGTCCCTGTTGAGAAGGTACAAAGGGGAGGAAGAGGCATTGATTCAGAGCGTCCACATCAAGTACGACGTTCGTGATCTCGTGTCCGACGAGGCAGTAGACGACATATTCGAAAACGAGAGGTACTCTTACCTGACCATGTCGTTTGGCAGCACGTACAACACCTACCCAGGTGCAGCCTCCTCCCATCTCTATCCCTCCCGACAACCACAGGTCTTGTCATGTCGTAGGGCATTTGTTGGTCCTGGACCGAAAACGATGGAGTGCTGCGAGCGGGAAGCCTTCATCCCAAGACATGCATGAAGTCGAACCAACTCTCCCAGATGGATACGAGTGGACTGGGCAATGGACAATCGATTCGACGTACGTCAAATGCGACAAGGAAGGATGGACCTATGCGTTCGATTTCTCCAAGTAAGGCCGCCTCGTCCTTTGTGCGCCGTTCTTCTCACGAACAGTCGCCGTCTTCAGCTTCAGAGCTATGCTGCTCAATGATCAAAGCCATAGTGCGGCAGGCATGACAGACTATGTTCGGTAGGAGCGTCTCTCCCTGTTTCGCCACATGACGTTTCCTAGACGTAGGCGATGGATTCGCCCCCGACGCCGTCGAGCACTTCCCTTGCCTGCTTCCCAATCGTCCCAAGATTCAACTGCCGAGATGTCCTCTATCACACCGGACGAGACGACTGGGCTCTCATCCGCTTCCCATGGTTCCACAGCTCCGACGGCGCCACCTCCACCGAGTCCGTATCGCCATTTCGCCGCGCCGACAACCATGTCGGAGCTGCAAGCGTCGTGGATCTTGCACCTTCGCGCACTCAAAAGTGTTCACTCTATGCTGCACCATGCCCGTGCGGCTCGGGTACTTCGCTGGCGGGCCGCCAAAGCCCAGCTACAAGCTCAACTCACCGAACTCGCGAGCCCGTCCCAACGACTGCCACATAATCAATCCAAGCTAGACATTCTGAAGAGAGCCATGTGGTTTCCTGTTGAGAAAGGGTACATTTGGCGCGCGAGTTTGGCGGGGGTGTTTGTGGGGCTGCAAGACTTTTGGGTGGAGCGCCTTGCGCTGACCTTCCAACTCCACTTTACCGACCCAACTCGACTCGAAGCAACGTTTCAGGGGGCGTTCTGCGGCGAATTCCACGGCATCAAAGTGAAAGGCGATAAAGGGACGCGGATTCCAAACGCCAAGTGGAGTCAAGTTGCCTCGGATTTTGAGTTTCGCGGTCGGTGGGCGTTGCTGTGCGAAAAAGAGCCGACGGGATGGACCCTCGACCAAGCCAAGTCGACTCCTGTCGACTTTACCGCGATGAACATGCAATATCGAGGTACAGCATTGCGTCGTGGACTGAATTCTCTAGCCCAACGCCACGTACGATCGTGCGTAGGCGGACTCGGGATCCCGGACGCCTTGGTCCAACTAATCTTGCAAGACCTTGTGACAAACTACATCACCGACATCGTTGCGAAGTCGCTGCCGCCAGAACTCAACAAACTAATGTTGCGGCCAACCTCGGGCATCGAGGTACGATCGCCTTCCTGAACCCACTCTTCGTACGAGTTTGCTGACCCGCCGCCTCGTTCGCACGACACGATGTGTTTGTTGTCCATGCTGTTCACCTTTGTTTCGATCGACATGTCAAGGAATGTGCGATAGGTAGCAGGGGAGTTGGTCGTGGATGGGCTGGATCTCGCAGCTACGGTACACAGCACCTTGTGCGCCAGTAGCAAACAACGAGAGGATGACCCGGCAAGTCAAGTGCTTCAAGTGCTCAACTTGACGCGACCGCAGCTGAATTTACTCCTCTCGACACGGCAGTACAATGGCCTCGACATGCTTTTCCCTTCCCTCGCACAGTTTACTAGATACGTGCGATTGCATGCGCTCGACCCACGGGTACGATGGCCGCTGCCTCGTTGTCGGGTGCCACGTTTCGTGAATTGTTGCAAAGGCCGACGATCAAGACGTTGTCGAAAACTTGACCAAGGAATGGATCGACACATGGGATCGCATCCTCGAGCTGCTGCAGCTGCAGAGGCAGTTGCATCCTTGCGACGGCACCAACAGCGCGTACAGCATGGCTCCGATCTCGTTTGAAGAGTTGATCCAGCACACCAAGTATGTCGTGCTTGCGCATTGTTTTCGATCGTCGACATGGTGGCCGTTCTGGTTTGGTTCGGTGACGGTGGGTGGGCATGCGTTAAGATGTGACTTTTGGATGACAGGCGCCACGTTTTGCAAAAGCAATTGCCCGTGCGAGTGCACTTGAACCAGCTCAACTGGCGCGTGCACGTTCCCACGATGCTGCATACTCTGTCGACTTGGCTGACCAACTCTGCGACCCGTGTGTCGACATCCGCTGTACGACGTGCAGAATGCTCTTGCCGTGTGGCGATGTGAGGTTGCGGCAGCCACGTTTGACTCGCTGTGTGGTCTAGGCGGCAAAAGTGATGGGAATTCGCCTTGGGCGGAAGAAGGAAGCGCCTCGAAATGACGTGGCACCTTCCAGCACCCCTGCGTTCGTGACGATCGTCTTGGACAGGCTCAAACGCTTCATGGTGTGGTTGCCCGACGCGATGGAAATGAATTTTGTGGCACGATCACTTGGGACGTAGGAATCGGGCCTGGTGCGGCTCTTTCACACGGTGATGGAAGGCAAGGTCAGTGGAATCGGTCGTGCATCTACTTGCAACGACGACGACGCGTTACTGCGCCTGCAACTCCACGACGTTCAATTGAATGCCTGTGGACCACTCGATTGGTCTACATCGTTTGGTACGTCATCCTGCGCCGACCGCACGTTTGGACCATTCGACAACAGATGCGATTAGCATGGACAAGATCGGTCGGCAGATGCCGCATCAGCACCATCCCATCGCAGCCAGACTTGCCGCCAAACGTGACGTTCATGCTCGAGCCCCGGGCTTCCGTCGACCCTGCCGCGCTTGCAACGTCGACGCCTGAAGCTGTGTCGGCTACGCTGACCAACATCCAGTCGTCTCTCGTTCTTGACACCACCCATGTGTGTGGGGAGGTTGTGGTGTGCGCCACCGAGTACGGCCGTGACGGCGCTTCATCGACGAAAGATGCGACGAATCTGCACATGCAATGGCATCCTGCGCTTGTCGCCAAACTACGCGTCGGCTCGATCCACGCGACTGCGTCTCTCCGAGCGTTGTTTCAAGTGAGTGTGGATGCAGTGCTCGAAACGTTGCCGTTCCCGGTATCTCGTCGTGAATTTCAAGTGATCGCAGTGTTTACCCAGCGTCTAGACGCCCGCCAAGCCCTGGCTCGACAAGATCATGACGACAGTACTCAAATACTGCGCATCCGACGCGCTCATGATGGCGTGGAGTGTCGGGACGTCGTTGGATGACGACGGCATGTGGACCTGCCATGGCGCTGGCGACCACCCCCAGCCGTTCTTGGCCTTTGATCAACTCCACTTGCTCACGCTGCTACATGACGTCGATGACCTCGTGGCGTTTGCGATTCAAATGCACGACAGTGCGACCGAGACGTACCCCGACCAAGGCACGAATTGCAACCAGTGACCACACTAAGGTGCTTGTACATCGGGACGTACAGTGTTTGGGACGATCAAAGGCCGACATCATGCACGATGGTTTCATTCTGCCAACATAGAAAAGCATTCGGCAACTTACTCGGTCCGGGTCACGACCAGCATCTCTTTTTGTGAAATGAGGTGCTTGAGCTCGCCAATGCGTTTTTCGAGGCGGTGGATATGGGATTGTGCGACTGCGACGGGATCCATCGTCATGGTGGAGGCCACGGCAGAGGTGACGTTGGTGGCGGTAGGAGGAAGAGGGACGGAGGCGTCATTTGCCGCCGGAGAAGCTGGTGTTGTTGACGCGTCCGACGACGGCAATGGACTGTCTTGAGCAGTCGAAGGTGGAGGGCTCGAGGTCGGTGGCGTCGTCGCCGCCTCGTTTGATTTGCTTGAAGGCGTGAGGACAGTACTACTTTTCTTCCGCATCAACAGCTCAACTTCCCTCGCTGCGATCTTTTGCTTGAGGTTTGCAATCGGATCGCTCTCTTTTTCCAGAGACTGAACTTGCTGCATACGTCGGCGCATCGCGTTGCAGTCTTCTATCGAGAGCTGGATCACAACAGTCTGTGTGCATGCTGTCAGTGGCTTCAAGCTCGACGCGTTGTTCGGAAGGCTGTTGGACGACGTATTTGGGCCAAGCACCATCTTGGACGACCGGAAAGGCTGCGCTGCCTGCGCCAGCGGCGGAGGCGGACTTCTCGAAGGCTCCAGGGTTGAAGCAGCCACCGAGGGTATCCTGGACGGGGACGCACACGACGGCGACGCGGTTAGCAGTTCCGACTCGACAGTCTTGTTGCCTTCGCCATTGTCCTGTGGGGCAGATGGCGACGACATCACCTTGGGTTTCTTTAGCGAGCGTTTTACTGCATTGCGCAAACTTTCAAGGAGCGACAGGTCTTCCGACGGGTCGACGTCAGGGGGAGTGGACGAGATAGTGGACTCGTTGTCTACGGGTGGCGTAATCACAGCAGGTGCAGAAGGCGGGAGTGGCGGTAGCGGCAAATGGATGGCTTCCTGCGGAGGACTAACGCGAGGGACGTGGTGGAAGTTTGGCGGCGCATGAGGTGGTGGGGGCAGATGCATGGAAGCCGGTGCTGAATGCGGTCGCGGGTGGCGGGACAACCCCCCGTGGGGTGCGTATGGAACGCACTTTGGACTCGTCGACGGAAAGGATGGCTGAGATGACGGTGGAAGGCACGGGTCATCCAAGACTACGCGGCGATGGACACGTAGGATGCTGCTTTCAGGAGGTGGCATCATGCGGAACACCCGACGAGCCGGCGGCGCCATGCCAAGGCGATCTTGGAGAGCATGATGTGGATACCCTAAATTCTAATGCGCGTTGGGTAAGGTCATCTTCGTTCGAAAGGTTCAACGTGGTACGTACCGTCATGGTTGAAGGAGGGAGACTGGGATTGTAGAGGCCACCACCAGACGCCATGGACGCTGCTTCCTGCAGCTTTCGCTTGAGCTTGCGCTGCTTCTTCTTGGACATCGTGGGAGGGATTTGAGTCGAAGGAGATGCTTTGACCAGTTGCCGCAGCGACGCTTGGCGATGAGCGACTTGGGCCTCGCGCAGATACGTTGCCTCCAACTGCTTTTGCTGCCATAACTCGTCCGTCTCGAGTTGACTGGGGTCGTCTGAAAGCTCGCCCTCTTCGCGATGGGTGCACCTTTCTACTTGAGGTGTGATTACCTGTTCATACTTGCTTTTCATCACAACAGCATCCATTGTCGACATGAACACTGTGGCGTCGTCGGTAGGTTGGGATTGGGCATCCTGAGCACCACCCCCTCCGTCGGAAGAGGAGTGCTGATTGTCTTCAATGCTGTCGTCGACATCCTGTGACAAATCAATTGCTCCAGCTGGGAACTGTTGGGGAGAAGGATCGGAACTACCACCGCCAGCCTGAGTCGCAAATTCCTCGTCTTCATCCGACTCCAAGTCCTCGAGAACGGACTCCAAAGCGTTTGCGACATGGACTGCAGAAGCTGCATTGTCTTGCTGTTCTAAGACTGGGTCGAACGGTTCATCTTCCTCAATCTCCATGGGCTCATCGAGTTGATGGAAGTGTTGGTCGGGGGAGGCGGGTTCTTTGATATCATCACCATCTTGGTCACACCTCTGTGCACGCAAGGGAAAGACATCATCCTCATCGCTGCTGCTGCTGCTAACAAGGTCCACGACGATAGGTTGACGGGACATGACGACGCGGCGTCGGCGGCGCAGTGGGCTCGTCCGCGACCGAAGGAATTCGACTGCAATGCAACTTGGTCGACCGTTTGACCGCTCAAGAGCGAAATTTTCAGCAATTAATTTAATTGGTGCAGAATATATGAGAGCAGGAGCGAAATCCAATAAAAATACAAAATGTTTTTATTCCTGTTGTCAGAATCAAGTTTTGATTGGTTGCAATTAAGCATTTATAAACCAATCAATGAATATTCCATGGATTTCCGCCACTTTCGAAATTGGATCCATCCAAGCAGCGAAGTTGGCCGATCAAATGACTTCTTTCCACTCATTCCAGCAGAGGTCGATCTTGGCGGCGGCGCCACTGCCTGCCTCCACGTACAAGGCCGCTGCGTAGTGCTGAAAGGATTCGTGAGCGACAAGGGCGCGAACGACTTCCTCTGTGGTTGCCCATTCCATGGCGATGATCCCGGTATTGCCCTTTTCCACCGCATTCTACAATAGTCCAACGGTCATTCCTTCATGGCGCATGTTCCCTGCAGACCTTGATGTGAATTGTGGCTTGCGCCCCAAACAACGACTTGGCTTGTGCAGGGGAGATACGGAATTTCCTCGTTTGAATGAGCTTCGGCGCGGCGTCCCCCGCTGCGAGCGCCGCTTCAATCAGCTGCAGCGCCACTTCCGAACTGCCCTGGTCGCATCAATGAGGTGAGTGATAAAGGTAAAACCTCTATCACCCCGATTCTCGGACTTACCGTCGACACACAGACGAAGACGACGTTGTTTGGAACACGAGCAAGTAGTCCATGCACGAATGGCACAATACTGCTGTCCTCAGTGTACCCCACCTCTGCGATAACTTCCGGTGGCAATTTAGCCAGCACATCTACAGCGCATTCTGTGTTCATATCCAATTTTGTGTTTTCCATCCCCTAGCACCTTACCACTCGGGCCAGGCGTGCCAATGCCCCAGTTGCCATCGCTTCCATTTGGGGTGAAGTCGAAGATCTGTGCATGCGGTGAGCACATGCTCAGTGCATATAGATAATGCGACTAGGTCATACCTCGCTCCACTTGTTGTCCCACACGCTAAATTTGGCAGCATCGAGTTGGTGCTGCAATCCCATGTACGCACTCGCAAAGGGCCGAATGCGAAGCCGTCTGGACGACTCGATAATCGGCGCTGTCGTGCAAAACAGGGCAATGTCCATGTTATCACAGTCGCGCGTGCGGAACTGCTGCACGACACAAACGACGGTCGTGCTGGTGCAGTTCCGCAAAAAGAGGCTGGCCATGCACGGTCCGATGAAAACAGTACAGTCGTGGCACTCGTCGATTTGGACGGACGTGCAGTGGTCGAGCACAAACACGTTCGTGTGGCGGCAGTCCTCGATGAGAAACTGCTGCCCGTTGACGGTGCCTGGGCGCTTCACGATTGTCGAGTTGATCTGCTTTGCCACGATGTAGTCTTCGCGCTTCAACGTCGGGTCCTTCCCAAACGTAAGCGGGGGCTTCTTCCCGTCCAGGGAAATCGACTTGGCGCTTTTGGACGAACGCTTCGCCGTCGAGTTGACGCGACGGCGCTCGCGTACTGCGACCAATTTGTTGCCCATCCTCGTGTGATCCAATTTTAGTCGAAAGGACGTGGCGTCAGATTCAATTTAGTCCATCAAATTCGAGGCAATATTGTATATAGTATTAAACAGAATACTTTAAATACGTATAAAATGACTTAGTTATTGTAATTGTATAATGTTACATCTACTTTTCCGGATTGCATTATCCGGATTTCGGCCGTAGATCTTCCACGAAACTGCACCTGCACGAGGATGGCAGGCCGAAGGATGTCGGCCGCGTTTTGGGTGCTCTCAATGTGCCTTTCAGCCACACATTGTATCCACTGCAAACTTCACACCAAGACATCGGACTTCCAGACACAGTACGCAGTCACAATTGCCATCGGCACGCCTGCCCAAGAGTTCGATTTGATTGTCGACACCGGGTCATCGGACCTTTGGGTGCAAGGTCCGCCTCCTTCACACGGGAATGGATGTGATGCTGATACGCGGCATAGGCACAGACTGCGTGGCGTGCAATAGCGAGCCACGGTTTGCCGCCTCGATGTCGAGGTCATTTCGTCCTAACTGCGTCCGTGGGAGCTGCACGTACACTATCTCGTACGGCTCGGGCAAGTCGTCGGCCAAGGTCGGGCAGGATGTCGTGTCCATGGAATCCTATGTTCTAGCGGACGACGTTCAATTTGGCGTCGTGTACGACGAAGACACGTCGATCACACAAGTCCTCGAGAACAGCGGAATCCTTGGGCTAGCGTACGATCGGCACGCCATCTAGTTGATCATGATGTTGTCAATGTAGGTTCAAGTCAATGGCAGCGTTCACGTCGCCGTGCGCGCAAGAGTACATGAAGTCGTTTGCGTTGTCGCTGAGTCGGACATCGCCGATGCTTTCCATCAACGAAGTGCTCCCAGCCTACAACGATCCAGCCCTACAGTGGGCCACCATGCCAGTGGAGGAGGTAAGCCATTCAGGACATTTCGCGCACGCCAGTAGTCCGCGTCATGCTTCCCCGTGTGACGATGTCTCTTCGTTTCACAGCTCGCCGGACTGTACTCGTACTGGATTGCCGGACTGCCGAATGCAACGCTCGGGTCGCTCCAGCTCTGTGGGACCACCACGAGCCGATGTCAAGCAGGTAGCAAGCATCGTGGAAGGTACCTCATGGACACTGACCAAATGCTGTGTCTCCGTGTGCAGTGCTCGACTCTGGCACCGGTTTCGTCGCCGTACCATCCTCCGAGTGGAACGCGGTACGACCACCCAACTGCCCATCTGCATGGCCCCAACTTGCATTGGGATGTAGGTGGTAGCCGAACTCCACTCGTTCGGGTGCTACTCCATGGGCGAGTCTGGGCCATTTTCGTGCCCCAGCATGACGCGCCTGCCAAATTTGACGCTTACGCTCGGTACTCTCAACAATCGGTCTCTCTCATCTGGACCCGACATTTTTGCCAGGAACGACCCAGGGCTATGCGTGCACCCTGACTCCATCCATGTATGCGTTTCAAAGCGCCGGCACAGTCGTCGTGGGTTTGATCATGTCGCCGCTCGACATGTGGATCCTCGGGTCGCTCTTTCTCGAGCAGTATTACATCGTGTTCGACGTGGAAAATCGCGAGATGCGCATGACAGAGCTCGTGGAAAACGTACCTGCAATGCCAGAGCTCGAGCCCGTCCCGATTTCGATCCACGACCAGCCATCGTACTTCGACCGATACTTTGGTACGACGCGCCTCACTCTGCGACATTGCGACATGGCCTTTCTCATCGATGCCATTGCGTGGCACTGTGCAGATGAAATCGTGGCAGAGCACGTGATGGTTGTCATCGTCCTCGTCGCGAGCTTAGCGCTGCTGTACATGATCGTGTGCCAGTCCGGCCCGCGCAAGCACCCATGGGATCGAACTGCGACGTCGGACGGTGCGCCTATTTCCGCTCTTCCCATCGTGCTACGTGAATATTACGTCGCACTCAAGTTGTCCATAGATATGCTGCTTGTGACTTTACTCGACCAGCACCACCAGTGGAAGCGCCAGCCGATCACTTAACACACCCCAGAACGCGACGACTCCCCCATGGAGCGCCGACTGTCGAGACGGGTGTGTCAGCAGAGCGTTGGTATTATTATTAAAAAACAATAAAATTAAATCAAAGCAACAATACCTACGTCAGTACTAGTATAGGGATAATCAACTGGCATTAGACCTATCCAACCTAAAATTTAAAAAGATATAACTTTTATTAATAACCAATATAAATTCTAAATATAGGTCTAAAAATTGTACTTCTAACTTCAGAAAAATTAGTAAATGGTAATGATAATAATATTAGGTATTGATAATAATATTAATGAAGAACCAAACATTGCTATAACCCCTCCAATTTTATTTGGTATTGA